CGATACTATATTTAGTAAAATAGTTTGTTTCTCCTCCGCTGTTTTTAATTATTTTGGGGTCCCCTGTTCCCTTTTTCCGGAGGCGCGGATCTGCGGATCCCTCTGCCCCGCTAGTCACGGAACTGGGCCGAACCAGCCCGTAAACCGTTGACATTTACCAAGCAAGAAAAAGGGACACTGGCCTGGCAGGCTGCTAGCAAGACAACAACTTTTAGCTACAGGGTATTGGAAGAGATCCTAGAAGTATAGAGCTTGTTATCTTCTCTGAGAATGTATTGATGCCACGGTACTCATTACGTACCCTGACCTTTGACAGATGTGAGCAAGGATCCTTCTTTCAGCTTCTCCTTCGGTGACAGTTTGGCTATTCTGTCAGACTTGATAAAGAAAGCACGAATAGGCAAAGAGCCTGCTCTACTCATGTCTGCTAGCCTTTCTCACTTTTATCATTTTAACCTGAATGGCTTAAACATGTCTGAGTGTTAAGATGAGCAGCCTTCTGATGCCAGTTTGGTTCAGCAAGCTACCTGCCAGCAGCAAAAAGCAGTGCATAAAGATTTCCCTCCTGGAAATATGAATTTACGGTAAGTGGTGTCAGGGAAGAGTCTTGTTTCTAAAACGAGATGTCTTTACATTACACATTGGTATTTTTTAATGTAAGAAGTGTGGTGTTTAACTGTTAATAAATATCCAGGCTTAAAGTTAATTAAAGGCAGTTACTAAACACCAGGCATCTGCAGCTGGTTTCCTTTTTACATAAAGATTTGGGCTCAAAGAGGGGAATTGCATGGGGCAAAAAAAGACCAAAGAGAAAAAAAAAAGGGCTTAGTTTCCTTCCCTTCCCTTCCCTTCCCTTCCCTTCCCTTCCCTTCCCTTCCCTTCCCTTCCCTTCCCTTCCCTTCCCTTTGGAATGTTATTTCAGTTAATTCCTATTTCATTGAAGAATTTGATTATATTTAATACTTTAGCTTTGTAATTGCCTATCAATTTTGGTCATTTTTTTACTTTGGTACCAAAGTAAAGAAGATTTCTGACTATGAGGGATACTCCCAGTAGGAAAAGGACAAAATGACTGAAAATTCCACCTAATCCTAGGCCCATCAGACAAAAAATGAGTGTTGGAGGGTGTTAAAATCAACACCTGCATGCTGGAGATAAATACACTAGTGTCATGGTGAATGTCTGAGCTGAGCAGGGGCAGTCCTCTTCCATGTGGGCAGGGGTCCAGCCCCTGGGTTCCCTGGGACTGATATGCAAGCAGTGTTGCTGTTTCTGCTCTGCCTGTGTTGTTCATATCATGCTCTGTTACTACTACTGCTTAGTGGGGTCTCTTGCACTTACTAAGGCACTGGCTTACACCACAGAGGGTTTTTTTTGGTGGGAGCACAAGCTTTCACTACAGGAAGCGGAGAAGGAAAGGATCGAGATTTAAGAAAGAAGCAGTAAAATGAGGGCACAAAATATGGAAGGAAGGTTGTTAGTCAGTTTTCACACAAAAAGTGAAATTATGTCTTCAGCGCTACTCTGATTTGGATCCTCTGCCAGAGCCTGTCCTAAAGGTGAGATGTCTGGTATTACTCTGTAGCCAGTGGAGTCTGCTAATGTTTAGTTTTGGGGGGCTTCTGGCACTTATACCACCGGAATCATTCAAGTCACCTAAGAAGCATTGGAAATTTTCCTCAGGGGCTTGTTCCTTTCCATTTTTGTTTTGTGTGAAGTCCATTTTCACTGAATGAAAAACTAAAACTGGCTCAGAGCACCCTGAGATCAGTTCTAGCCAGCAGCACATGTGGGAATCAGGCAGAGTGATCCTATCTTGTGCTTGTATCTCTCAGAGGAACTGCCTCATGGGAACACAAATGCAATTTCTAAGGTTGGGGCTTTCTTAAGCAGGGAAGACTGCTACTTATCTGTACAATCCTGTATAGGTAAAGAGGGATAGAAATACTGCTACTAAGCAATGTAAACTTTGAGTGCAGGGCTCTGGGGGCAACTAATGAGCACCTTCTTTCTTCAATTAGTCCTTCCTCTGCAGCTTTACTTCCCCTTTGAAAGCAGATAATTTCATGTTGCAGTAGAGAGTGAGTCTGCAGCCTGCAGAAATAAAACAGACTTTGACTTCCTATAGCTTACCACCTCAGGGGTGTTCTGGAGTTATCTTCTTCGTTTGTGTTTTTTATGTGTGTGTGTAAAGATGGACAATCAATTACTCAGTACAATTAAAGCTACTGAATTATTTTTGAATAATTATTTGCTGTCCAACTCTCTTGTGTGTGCAGAAGTTTTCCATTCTGTCTGATCTAAGAAACAAGTTTTAAAATGACATTGCTTCTGCATTGTCTTTCACCTCAGCATCTGCATACCTCTGGAGACTTTGTAGAGCACCAGCATGGAGGAGGAAGATTCACACTTCAGTGGACAGTCTTTGATAACTTTTTCTGATGTTTTGCCACAGCTTAAACCAGCAGAGACCTGACATACATTCAAATTGCCAGGTACTGACAAATAGAGAAATAAGATAGGAGAAAAAATTACTGCGTGTCCTTCTGGATTTCTAAGTACATGGCAGCATTCTCAGAGCATCAGCTCATCTTTAAAAATCCTGGGTCTTCATAGAGCTTCACTTAACTGAAACATGACGTACATTCTGCATGTTAAAAAGGTGGATTTTATTTACACTGACCCCATTTCTCATCCTCCTATTTGCTCCCAATACAGTACTGAATACATTAGGGACAAGTTAAGAACGATCACTCTGATTAGAAGAAAAAAAGGAGTGTTTGTTTAAACCACTGGCATGAGTAGCTGATACATCTGACCTTGTCAAGTTTGGTAAAAAGATACAGGTTTTACACAAACACACTTGTAAGCACAGACACATACATACACATGTGGGATCCAGTTAAATTAAGACCAGAGTGGGAGTATTCTTGAGGCAGTTCAAAGAGCTGATAACTGCAGATCTCCAGAAGTCATTAACATAGCAGCAGGTAATGAGATCTGAGGCTAGTACTGCACGGGAATAATTCAGAATAATGCTACATTAGACAAGGGGAAAGAAGAAACGGAGTAAACTGTAGCTGTGTTTTGAAACTAGAATAAAGGAAATAATTAGGCTTTATTTATTTATTTTCCTTATGCAAAATGTGATACACAGGAAGGGAAAGAATTAGCAGCAAAAGAAATAAGGATATAGATATACTTCCAATGTCTATTTCAGTTAGGACACTTCAGGAAAATTGAAGAACACTATGCTGTTCCTGTGCTTACAAGTTGGGGAGCACCCAAACATTTCATCTGTGGTTACACAAAATGAACATTTGACACAGGATATAAACCAGTTACGCATGACAGAAGAGGTGATGCTCAAAGGTTTGTAACAAACAAGCAAACTTGAAATGCACAGCAGTGAATGTGAGTACATTAAACTACAATAGACTCATAAACTAAATTCTCATAAATAGACTCATAAACAGACAATTACTCAGCCTCACCTAAAGTCTTGTGCTGCACTCAGATTTCTTTCTAGATATTTTGTGACTGCAGTAAAACGCAATAATAATGGACTTAAAAAGACGTTACTGTAAGAGCAGACCAAAAGGTTCTAGGGAAAAAAATGGTAATATTTCTACATGCTTAGAGGTAGGTGCTGGTGAGTGTAACATATGCCAGTTAGCACATCCTTATCTGTGGAGAAACTCCTTTGAATGATCACAGAAATGGTTAATCTTACGTAAGAATCAGAAGGCGTGAACCATGGAAATATTCAGTGTTTGTGGAACTCCCACCTTTCTCCTAAAAGGGAAAAAGCTGTAGTACTGCTAAGGAAATAAAAATAATGACATTTCTTAGCTGCTGCTCTGTGTTATAAATACAGCCTACGTTGGTGTGCCTTCTATTTGCTAGAGAATTAACTTTTCTAATTTTCTGCTTGAACAGTCTCACTCAGTGTTTCAACATTTAGAAGAAAGCAGAAAATGTTCACTGAAACTAAAAAATGCACCGTTTTTAGACATGCAAATAACGTGACTTTGGAAGTGAGATCTATAGACACTATAGAACTTGAAGCATACACACACTAGCCTGGAGTAAAACCCATGTTTCACTTTGCCCCTTCCTACTTGCAGGTCCTCTCTAGATTTTCAATATCTTGCTAGCGAAAACGTGGAGTATACAGAAACTCCAGAGGCAGAGGTGAGAAGCAGTAATGTCTCAGTAGCCACCTTTGTGGCTGCCCCTCTGAATCAAGGAGAATGGTGAGAATACCATCAACTCTTCTTTGCAGAACAGTTTCACTCCCTCTTCCAGAAAATTAACTTTTAAAGCCTTTTTTCCTTCTCATTTATCTTTCTTCATCTGCCACGATGTGCTTCCTTCCCAATGGGTTTTGCTAGAAAAGGATCCTACATGATGGTATTAAGGGGACAAAAGAAAATTCCACTCGCCCAACACCTTCAAACTGACTTCAAAGTTCCGTTCCTAATCTGCCTGATGCCTTTTGGTGCAGCTTAGTACAAAATCTCCCTGCGATGCTCTCAGCCGCAGCTTTCAGACCAGCCCTGTCACAGATAAAACACGGCACCGCCTCCTGGGCCTGCGGCGCGGGGGCTGCTGGGACATTCCGCTCTCTCCCGTGCGGGGCTCCACTTCCGGCTCCGGGCTGGAGCGCCGCTGGCTGCTGGCCAATAGGAGGGCCGGGCGGGCAGGTGCAGTAGCTGCTGATTGGCCGGAAGGCTGGGCGGGGCGGGGCGGAGGACGCCGGGAGCGGACCGGGCGCAGGCCGGAGAGCGGGGAGGATGCGGTTGCGGCTGCGCTCGGGCGCCTTGGCCGCCGGCTGCCTGTTGGCCGAGGCGCTGGGGGTCGCGCTGTTCCTCCGCGGCTTCTTCCCCCTGCCCGTCCGGTCCCTGCCGCGCGGGGAGGCACGCGCAGAGCCTCCCGCCGAGCCGGCCCCGCCCGGCCCAGGTAGGAGGCTGGGTTGGTCCGCGGTTTCACGGGTGCTCTCCGGTGTGCGAGGGCTTCTGTGCTTTACAGTGCCGGTCTGTGGTGCTGTCGTGTTTCGGAGCCTGCTTCCGAGGTGGCTTAGAGCACAGGTAGCTCTGCGTGTAGCGTTGGTCGCTGTCTGCAGTATCTGCTTGCGAGGAGCCTTAATCATCGGCTGTGGATGGCGGATGGTGATGGCGATGGTGAACCCTCACCTCCAGGGAACGGCTGCACTGAGCTGTGTTTCGGCCAGGACAGGCGGCTGTAGGACTTCTGTCTGCTGGAGCAAGGTTGTGGCAGCCCTAATGGGACCCACTACTTGTTGCCTCCTGTCGTTGCTACTTCTAAATTATACAAAGCAGCACCTTGGGACAGGCTCACTGAATTTGTAGGGACAGTGGGTAGAAGAGAGTTGCCTAATTCAGAATGTGGCATCACAACATCAGTGAAGCAGGAATGCTATAAAGCTCTAATCTTACAGACTTAAGCTGAGGCTGCTAAACTGCAGTTAAGTATTTAGCTGGAGATTACCAAAACTGTCAGGGATGTCTGATAAGTTGTGCTATAGAGATCTCAGAATCAGGTTTAAGTATGAGTGAAGCTTTGTATTCCCATGTGAACATTAGCAGTAGATGCTGGGGGGGAAGAGGGACCAGACAATTGGGCTTTGAAAAGTCTGGTTTGACCTGGAGAGTATAAATGTGTGCCACAGATCTCTACAAACTCTTAGGTTAAATTTAGATGTGTTGGTAATCCTAGCCAAAAATGCAGTGATGGAAGTGATTATTTCTTCTCTAGAGCTCTTATTTTAGAGCTTGAGTGCAGGGTGATCTCTTGGTCTCACTGTTAAGCACTTAAAGCCATTGCATTGCTTTCCTAACCTGTGTTAGACAATCACAGAATCACAGAATGGTGTAGATTGGAAAGGATCTTAAAGATCCTTTAATTCTAATCCCCCTGCCACAGGCAGGGCTGCTCCCTACCAGACCAGGCTGCCCAAGGCCCTGCTTAACCTGGCCTTGAATGCCTTCAGGGTTGGAGCACTCACAGCTCCTCTAGGCAGCTTCCCAGTGTTTCACTACCCTCTGAGTAAAGAATTTCCTCCTAATGTGTAACCTGAATCTCCCCTCTTTTTGTTTAAAGCCACTCCCCCATATCCTATCCCTATCAGACCATGTAAAAAGTCCATCCCGCTCCTGTTTATAAGCTCCCTTTAAGTACCGGAAGGCCACAGTGAGGTTTCCACACAATCTTCTCTTCTCCATGCTAAGCAATCTCAACTGCCTCAACCTTTCTTTGTAAGAGAGATACTTTAGAATTAACCTCATTACCTCACCTGTACCTGCTACAACAACTCCATCAATGTCATTGGTGAAAGATGTTGAAGAGTGACAGACCCTTGGAAGACAGCATCTCTTGTGATCAACCTACATGTGGACATAGAGCCATTTACCACAACTGTCTGGCTGCAACCATCCAATTCCCCATCCAATTCCTTATCCACTGAATAGTCCTCCCTTCAAATCCATTGCTTTACAATCCAGAGTTAACAGTGTGATGGGGAGCATGCCAAAGGCCTTACACAGGTCCAAGTAAATTATGTCAGCTGCTTTTCTGTTGTCCACTAATGCTGTCATTCCATTGTAGAAGGCCACTAAATTGGTCAAGTATGATCTGTCCTTGTTGAAGTGGTGTTGGGTGTCTCATAACCTCCTAGTCTCACGTGTGTCTTAACATCTCTCCCAGGAGGATCTACTCCATGATCTTCTGAGGCACAGAGGTGAGGCTCACCAGCCTGTATTTCCCTAGGTCTTCCTTTCTCCCTTTCTTAAAAATGGGAGTGATGTCTCTCTTTTTCCAGTCACAGAGGGTTTCATCTGAGAGTCATTGCTTTTCTATTATGATGGTGAGTGGCTTGGCAACTTCACAAAGCACTTCTTTCAGTACTCTGAGAAACATGTCATCAGGCCCCATAGACTTGTTTGAATTCAGGCTCATCAGGTCATCACAGACTTGCTTTTTTCTTACAGTGGGAGGGATTTTGCTCCCCCAGTCTCTTCTTAGAGGCTCAGGCACATGAAAGTCATGGGAAGCCTGTCTGCCAGTGAAGAATGAGGTTAAAAGCAAGTTGAGTATCTCAGCCTTTTCCATATCTTGTTAAAATTTCTCCCTTCTCATTTATCGGAAATGGGAAGTCTGTCTCTTCTAACCAATATTCTTATAGAATTCCTTTGTTAGTTTTCACATCCTTCACCAAGTTCATTTCCACTTGCACCTCGGCTTTCCTGATCTCACCTCTGCATGTCCGGACAGCCCTGCTGTTTTCTTCCCAGGCCACCCATTCCTGCTTCTGCTGCCTGTACGTATTCTTTTTTTATTATCAATTTGACCAGCAGTCCTTGCTCAGCCATGCCAGTTTCCTGCTTCCTCTGCCTTATTTCCTCTGCTGAGAAATGGGTAGCTCTTGTGCTGTTGGAAGGGTGTCCTCAAGGAATTGCCAGCTCTGTACCATTCCTGTGTCCCTAAGGAGAGTTTCCCAGCAGATCCCATCTGGTAACTTCTTTAACAGTCTGAAGTTTGTTCTCCTGAAGTTCATAAGCCTGACTCTGGTCTTTGCTAGTCCCTTATTCCTTGAAATCTGACTATCTCCAGTCTTAACCTCTTTTTAAAAAGTTTGTGGTAGAACCTTTTGTTTTGTTCAGTGCTTACAAAAATTCCCTTTCACGTAAAGTAACCCTTCTAAAGAACTTTAGCAGACATAAATAAGCATGTCACATCCTAAGAGCTGCACACTGGTATCTAGCAAGTTCTCCTTCCCTGGATAAGTGGGTGGGAATCAGTTATGAGAGAAACTTAAAGGCACAGTGCATCCAGATCTGCTTTCTTGTTTTTCACCTGAGTGAAATGCATGAATGCCAGAGCAAGCCTGCCAATTTAGTAATTCAAGTCATTCAGTAACAACGTTTTATTTTTTGTCAAAATTACTGGAAAGTACTATTTTTGTTGTTGAAGTTTCCCTCTCTCCTCTGCTGTGCCCATCTTCAATTTCCTTACCTGGAAAAATCAGTACTACTACCAAGTTTGTGAATGTCAATATAGTGATGCTTATGCATGTACCTGAAATACAGTTTCTGAGCATATTTTTAAATTCTTTTTAGACAGAATTTAGACAGAATTATCCGTGGCCTTTCCAGCTTATCAACCACTTAATCAGAAACACATTTTACTCTAAAAGAACACGGAAGCTGTAACTTTATATAATGCATATTACTGATCAACCACTGTGTTGTCTAGGAAGTCATCTATGAATGGGATCCAATCTGCTTTTATCTGTTTTGTACTTCTGTTTTGTCTCCTGGTGGAGATATGAGGCCTGTAGAGGTTTGGCCCAAGCCTTCTGCTGTAAAAACATAATGTTGCTGTGTGACTAAAGTGAATGCAAAAGAAGAAAAGAGGTGGGCTTGAAGGCATGTCATGGCCCACTGCTAGAGGCATGGCTGTGCTGTGCGCTGTGAGCACAAACTGTAGACTTTTCGGGGTATTCTAGAATTGGATTTTGGCCTTACAGCTGCTGTCACCTAACTATCCTAGCATGCAGACTTCAACTCAGAAGGATGCAACTGTGTACAAATCTTTTCACTTCCAATGTCAATGAAGTTCTATTTATTTCTTTGTTACTCCTGCTCTCTGATGGTGAGATTTGATTGAGGGGCACTGCTTGAATTATGTTCTGTTACATAGGCCTGGATATTAGCACATGTCAGTGCTGTATTTTTTTTCTTACAGTAACTGTCAATTGGATGGATATACATAGTTCAGTTTGGTTAACTTAACCAGAGAAAGTAGAAATTGTCCCTTTATCCCTTTGAACTTTCTGTTACGGAGTTTTTTCTCAGTTCTTTCCATTTCTCATAGTGCTCTGCATTCTTTCTTTTATCTTTTTTGTTTTTCTTCATAAGTACTGAATTTGTGTCATTCTTGTGCTGGATGGCCTGAAAACTCAACTTCCTCAGATTAGATCTAAGGTTTGCTGTTCTCTGCAACTTCTTGCTTCGGAATGTAAAGTTAATAAAATAACTTTGGGGCTCACATTTCTGTGGTGCAGCTGCTCTTTAACTTATGTCAAGCAAATGTTAAAATTTTTGGTGACTTAAAATACATTCTTGTTGTTGTTGTGCTTTAGGAATAGTTTCCAACTGGACCAAAATTCCACCACCACTTTTCAAAAAAGTTGTCATTGTCCTCATAGATGCTTTGAGAGATGATTTTGTCTTTGGATCCAAAGGTAAACAGTTCATGCCGTACACTACACAAGTTATTGAAAAAGGGACATCCTACAGTTTCATTGCTGAAGCAAAGCCACCCACCGTGACTATGCCTCGAATTAAGGTAAGTTTCCCTTTAGGGTTGCCTCATTGAAGAAAACTGGAAAGACTGATTTGTTTCACTTGCTGACAGTTGGTATAAAGAGGGTTTGTGGTACTGCTGTTAATCTGTAGCTGGAACTTACTTTATTGCAGTAATGCATGTGATATGATTGTTATTTGCTTTGGCCCAAATGTGCTTCCTGCAGAAAAGGTCGGACTGCAAAGGAAGGTAGAGAGGATGAGTGAGAGGTGGTAGCTTTCACTTATGGCACTTTGCCTTGTTTTGTTCCTTTATTTTACAGCTCAGTGGTAGAAAGCTTTATGAGAATCAGTTGAGGACAGTTAGGGCCCTGGTGCCAGCTTATTTGGTGGGCACAGTCTTTTCATTTGTAATCTTGGGAAGGCAGCCACATGGCTAGCAAATTTTCCTATTGTCTTTTTTCCAAGAGCATTTTTGTTGGTGTTTCTCACTCTATTTTGATAGGAACTTCTGATAGGAAGTCTAGTTGTATGTAAATTCATGTTTTTTCAACCTCAACACAACTAAAATTTGAGTTTTGTCTGTAAGTATTTTGTCATTTGGGCTTGTTAGTAATGGATCTGAGTAGCAAGGCCAGAAAGAGATTGAGGAGAAGACAGTCTGGTAGCTTTTCATAGGTGGACTTCATTTTTTTTTCCAGAAGTTTCTTATTCTGTTTTGAGCATCCTACCATTGTTAGTATTGTGTTAGGTTAATTTACTTAAGCCATCTACACAGTCTTATTGGTGATTTACTGCGCCATTAAATGAATGAAATTTCAACTGGGATACAGAGTGGTTTTGCTTCCCACTAATTAGAAAATGTAATTTTTAATTTTCTGTTAAGCTGATAGTATTCCTGATGCCATTTGCCAATTCCTGGCAGCATATTGTGACAGTTGGTATGATGTGGCATGGCAGTTCATACGTTCTTTTGTCTTATACTTTCAATGACTACATGTAGTAATCTCTTTCCTCTCTGCTTCATTATTTTCTCTAACACTAATATTTTATTTTGGGTACTGTAAACTTTTTAGTTTCTGTTAATACATATCTTGTTTTATGCAGGCTTTGATGACGGGTAGCATTCCTGGTTTCATTGATGTTGTTGTGAACCTCAACTCTCCAGCTCTAATGAGTGACAATCTAATATGGCAGGCAAAAGCAGCTGGGAAAAGAATAATCTTTTATGGTGATGATACTTGGGTAAAATTGTTTCCAAAGCATTTTGTGGAATATGATGGAACAACGTCCTTTTTTGTGTCAGATTTTACAGAGGTGAGAGGCTTTTTATAATCTCAGGTTAAATAATGTGTGTACAAACACACAGTGACGACTTTGGAAAATGAAAGAATGAGACTGTCCTTTGAAACATTAACCTGGCAAATAAATAGAAATTGAATTGTGTGTTTTCAGTATTGACAGTCTTGAGCTAAAGACTTCAGTTCTTCATGCACAGGGCTTTGGAAGTGTTTGGGTCATACAGTAATGGGTTACCTGTAGAGCGTTTAACAATGTCGCTATCCGTGGTCTGGTTTCCTATGCATTTGTGTTAGTACAGGCCATCTTTAAAAGGCCTGCTAATAGATTGTCTTCTCCTAGAGGCATATTTTCTATAGTATTGCTTTTTTAGGTTTAAGATGAACAATGTTTCAATGTTTTGGAAAGGAGGGAACATAAACAGTAAACAAAACAAATTGTGAAAATTCTTTTTCTGAGAATACTAAAAGAGTTAATGGGCTAGCAGTTCTAATTCCTGTTTTGAAACTTTGATTTGTAAAATCTTGTGCCATTAACCCAATGCTACTGACATATGTACTTTGTCATGTTTAAGAAAGTTAGATAGGCCTATTGTGAATGAAAAATACTTTTAATTGGTTGTCGTAATAACCCTTGTGGAAGATTCAAGGCTTGCAGAGTGAAATGAAGCAAATGTGTTTCTAGATCTGATGTTGCAGATATGATGTTTAAGTGTTTAATGCCTAGGGAACATGCATGCAACTAAAATGAATTTTCAACTTAGATAGGAGAACTTGGGATAGACTCCAAACAACCTTTTTTTAAAAAATATTTCATTGTTGCTACACAGACAGTTTTTTTTTGTCAGCAGTGTTTTTCTCTTTTGTATTTCCAAGCTCCAAAGAAAGGCTGTTCCCTATACCTACTTCTCAGAAGCGATAAATCAGAAGTGTGAAAGGTGAAAGTGATTAAAAGTGTTTTGAAAGAGTTTTTAGAAGTGCCTGTGAAAGCTTGTCTGTTCTGTTTTCTCTGCTTTATGTAATCTGGTCTTTGACAAACAAGAGAGATTGAAATGGGGTGAAAAATCTTTTTTTTTAAAGATAGTCTTTGATTCTACCTAGCAATGAAGTGATCAATCTAATTATTTTTTTTCTTTTAACTGTGTGAATGACTAATTCTCATTATCTTCTAGAGAACTTTCATGAGCAGTACAAAATAATCTTTTTATGCTTTACACAGAAGGGAAATATTCTATGCTTTTTACAAAAGGGAAATTATTATTTGTTTTTCTTTCGTTTCTGAGGTTGATGATAATGTTACTAGACATTTGGATAGAGTGTTGAAGAGAGAAGACTGGGATCTCTTGATATTACATTACCTAGGATTGGACCATATTGGACATGTGACTGGGCCAAACAGCCCACTAGTGGGACCAAAACTTCGTGAAATGGACAACGTCTTGAAGAAGATTCATATTTCTCTTCTGTCAAAGGTAATATATCTTGTTCTTGGATGAAAATCTGGCTTTTATAGAACTGTGTTGCATTAATAGTCTTCAGTGCAATTGCCTGTTCATGAGTAGTAGTTTATTCTTAGATGCAGGTGAGTGTTTTTCTGTTCTTTTTCCTTTCCTGTCTGTTCTCCAGTTAATGATGATTGCATTGTTAATAGCATTTTAAAGGATTTACTATCTGACATAAGTAACATCTATTAACTGCAACTACTGAATAGTTGTGGGAAATAATTTCCTGTTGATCTGAAGGAAGAGAAGTGGAATATGAGCAAAAATTCTTATTGGTCATGAATTCAAACGGTAGCTGATGTCCTTTTTAGTAATTTAATTTAGCAGAAGCAGTAATGGGTTTATGTGGCTATGTGTCTTGTTTTTATAATTAGGAAGGTATGCCTAATTTTCAGATACTGAAAAGTATCAAATAGAAGTAGAGGTTGTAGACATTTTTTCTTATTCTCGACATAGAACATCAAATTATCAAATCTGAGTCTGTTTTTAGAGTTGGAGGTAGAAATTGTCACTTATCTAAATAGTCTGGATGTTGAAACGTACATCCTTATTCCAGGTGGCCTTAAGCTTATTTTTTTTTTTTTTAGACAACTGCAGTTCAGATGCTCCTCATAAAACTTCAGTAGTGTATCTGTACAAATGCATAGTATAAAATTAAAGGAAAAGTTAAAATCCTGTTTGTGAAGATTATAATCACATGTATCTTGTCAGCAAAATCATTGCATAAAAACTGCACCAATCTGCAGAGCTTTCTTGCAGTTTTAGAATAAGGACATAAGAAAAGCAATTTTCTTCTGAATGCAGCAGGTACTGGAGATGACAAAAAACTGTTTTGTTATGAAATCACAACATTTGTTTTCTTTTACTTGACAGCTCAGAAGTGCTGGACAGGCCTTGCTTATGCTTCTGTTTCTCTGCTTTCAAAAATAGACATAATTTGACATCAGTCATGTCAAATTTCTACCCCAAAAACACTTGAAAGATTGTAGAAAAAATTTGGATTTAACCTTGTAAGATTTTTCTTGATTGTTTAAAACTTTAAATGTTATAATTTAAGATCTAAAGTGGAAGTTTATTTTGTTTCTTTTACTAATTAACTAATTTCCTTTGACCCTGCTCAAATCTATTTTAGTGCATTGCTTACAGTAAGATTTATAAAATAGGGTTATCATATTACACTTACTGATATTTTTAGTATTAATATTTTTCTAATTAAAGTCTCTCTGAAGCTGAAGACAGAGTTCAGCTGGGGGGAACAGACTTTTTTCTATGTTATTGTTCCCGTACTGCTGATTTTCTTCAAAAAGTCAGATTCTTCTGACTTTGTAAATCGGTTATGTTCATTTTTATTTCAAAGTCTTTTCATGGTTGTGTTATAATGATACATATTTGTGCCTTAACTTAAAAATAAATAAATATTTGCTGCTTACTACTTAGATGTTTGCTGGTGATCTGCTCTTGCTGTTGACAACCAGTTTTGAAATCTGAATTTAATTCAGTTATTCATGCTTGAAAGTGATAGAGGTGATGGAGCATATAGATACAGACAGATACATACACAAGTGCACACATGCACAAACAGGTCTGGCAGAAGTGTAATGTCTCCTATTCATTCACATGGAAAATAAAACAGATGCAAACATCACAATAACGCTGTTTCATAGAGGAAATTCTTGTCTACAAACCACTGTTTTTCCACATAGTCACTGCCAGTAACTGCATATTTCCACCAGGGATGAGCAAAAGTGTGCATACCACACTTGTAACAATCTGCACTAGCAGAGGCAACTCACTGTTGCAGTTGTCACTGCCTCAGTGTGCTCACATCCACTTTTGGGTCTCCATGAAGTTCAGCAAGCGTTGGTGAATGTCAGTGGATTGCATTTTTCCACACGTAGGACCCACCTTTGCTTCACTTACACTTCCAGGTTGGATGCCATTGTGTCAGTGTCCCTCTGCTGCCATCTGTCACATGGGAACAACATGTAACAGGATATTGGTGGAAAAGTTCAACCTCTGCTGCCACCCCTTTACGTCCACCTCTTGACAGCATGGGCCAACATGATGAAATAGGAAATACTGCTTTCAGAGCAACAAACATATGTATTGGTCATGTATTAAACTTTATTACTGTGGCTTGCAGGAAGGAGAGGCTTCTTTGCCCAGTTTGCTGGTTGTTTGTGGGGATCATGGGATGTCTGAAACAGGCAGTCACGGTGGTTCTTCAGAAGGTGAAGTGCACACACCGCTGCTATTTATCAGCTCTGCTTTTGAAAAGAGAAGTGGTAAGGATCAAAAGAACCTTTGTTTTCTAGGATACCATTTTTAGAACGTTTCTGACTTCAATTTATGTTATTCCTGGAACATACTTTGTTTTTATCATGTTATCACAGTGGTGGTGGAATTTAGCTCACTATTAGTTCTATACATCTGTCAAGATAACATGTTCTTTGTGATCTATGTTTTTTACAGTTTTCATCTGTGTCATGTTGAATGTGTGGCTTAAGCTGTGTAACCACAGACAGAATTAGGTATTTCTCAGGTTAAAGCAGGCCAGTGCTGCAAAAGTTTTTAAAGTTCAGTACTAGTGAGATCTCTTGTCTGGATCACAGAAAATAGTAAATAGATAGAACAGTAAATAGATACAATTAGAACTTAAGTTCTGCTTGAAGGGAGTTTTAACTTTTGTCATTCTTGACATTAGAATCAATGCTTTTGTGATCTGGTTGTCAACATGTATCTGTGACATTTATAATGGAAGAACTTCCCTGAGAGCTTTGGTTAGCTCCTTGACCAAACATTTGAAGATTTCAAGGACTCTTCTAGCAATCCTTTTTCTAGCCTCCATTCTTCCATTTCAAACAGCTGAAACAGAAGAATAAATGCCATTTTTGTGTGCTCAGAATAACAGGAAAGAAGAAGAATTGTTCTTGTTAAAGGGAGGGAGATGACAGCAAAGAAAACAGAACCATTGATTGCGAAGGAAAGAATATGAAACATGAGTGTATTTCCTGTATTGGACAGGCAGTTCATTTTTTATTGTTACAGTGAGCTTGTCTGCTTCTGAAGCTTACTCCCTACTTGTGTTATACGGCTTAAGATAAGAGGAATGAAGGGAATAGTGTGGTAGTTTGTGTAGCTTAAAATATCTTTCTGAAATAAACACACTGAGTTAATAAGTGAAGCATAGTTAGGAATGAACATTTTCTCCAAAATAATACTTCCCTTCTGCCTTTCATTATGCCTCTTGTCCATTTTCATCTCTCTTCCTGCTTGCCAAACCTTGCCTTATTTATTTTGCTGGAGGTTTCTGCAGCACAATTAAAGTACATTTATCTGTCTATCATTTGTAAAGATGATATCCAGCACTAGTAGAAAGGATTGCCTGAGATATCCTTGAACTCTTCAGATAGAAAAGCAAAACATTCAGAAGCTGACTAAGTAAGATAAGATTTTGGTTTATAAATGTCACTGATATATGTTGACAACCAAGCCACAGGTGTTGATCCTGTAAATGCAATTTCATTTGGATTAGTTTGTTACATTTAAGCTGAATGTGCAGTTTTTACAATATGTTAAAATATAGTTAGTCAACTGCCTTTTGAGAGCAAGTTACATTAAAGTGTGATTTTTATCATATTTTTAATATCCAACAGCTTTCTTATTGCTGTAGTAGGCAAAATTCTATTGATTGCTTTTTTATAATTCTACTGCAAGTGAAATGTATCGTGGTTAAAACAACAGACCTCAAAATAGTAATCTTTCAGTCTTTCACCTTTAATGTGTGATCTGAATAATAATTTTTGTAGCCTTCTGCACAGTTACGCCACCCATGACTGACTAACGGTATTTGGTAGCTGATCTTTCTTTTACTTTTTATAACTAGTTAAAAACTTGCCTTAAAGATGAAATCTGAAATATGCTGACATACAAACACTCATGCAAAGAGGATTTAGGGATTATAGATGGCATTCTAAACAAGTATGAGATTAATCACAAGTCGATGAGAAACGAGAGATGAAACTAATACTCTTAAAGGGAGCCTTGAGAGCAATAAGCACTGTATATAATTTTTTTTTTTTTCATGTATAAGTCAAAACACTCACTGCCTGGATTTGCAAAGAGAACTAACTAAGAGCATGGTTAAAGAGTCTGTTATGTAACTAATAAAGCACAGGAGGAAACAATTGATGTTGCAGTTTTAAATAATTACATACATTGAATGAAATCTCTCATCTATACAGAAGACTGAGAACTGCAGTCGGATAATGGCATCTTTATACAGAACCCTTTAAATTCTCTGCCTTTGCTTGCATGGAGCTCCAGGACTTAGGACTCAATGTTCCTTTACCTGACCTCTGGTTCTGTTTGTCCAGCCAGCTAATATGACAACAGCAATTTGATATTAATTAATATCAAGAAGCATCTAGAATACTGTCAGCATTACATTAGGTTCTCATTCTTCATTCATGCATTAATCAGTCTACTGTAATGTTCTCTGTTCTTTCTAATCTGAAAGTCATCAAGCTCTCTCAGGATTTAACTGAGACTTGATACCATTAAGTAGTCTCCTGGACAATCTTTATACATACTTTTGTAACATTCATGTTCTGTTTCTAGTAATTGCACACATTGAAGAATTATATTTTCTGAGAGTTTAATAAAATGTGATTTTACAACAAAAAGAATCACTCTGTAGCTCTCTTGAAATAGTTGTTGTAACAGCAGTGAAAATAATTTTTAACTATGAACATATTCAGCTTTTGCCATGTAGACAGAATGAGCCTGTAATTGAAGTGGTTTTGTTTTGGTTTTTTTTTTGGTCTTGTTGTTTCTAGGTCCTCTAACCCAACTTGAACTTGTGCAACAAACTGATTTGGCTAGTACACTGGCGGTAGGTCTTGGTCTACCAATTTCAAGAAACAATGTTGGGAACATTATATTACCAGTTGTGGGAAGCAAGACAATGAGAGAACAACTACGTTTCTTGCACATGAATGGGTTCCAGCTTAGCACACTGTTGCAAGAGAATACACCTGCCTATGAAAAAGGTAAATAATCTAAAAAAGCAATAAATGAAAAGGATATTTACCTAATAATCTGAGATTCTTTCTAGCAGAGTTTGTGGTTTTTACATTTAAGAATTTAAGTGTGACTCTGCGAATTAGCTATTTAATTGAGAGCAGTATTTAGAGTAATAATGTGGAATTTGCTCTTTGCTGTTATTTATTCCAGCATACTGCTTCTGAATAAAGCCTTTTTTTATAAAAATGTTCAGTACTCCTACTAGTAGATGAAAGAGCAGAAATAATGATGGAGGGGTAAGATTAAAGTAAAACTACCTGTGTAGTTAAATCTCAGTGTTTTTGTGTGTACTGTTCTTTGAGGTACAGGGCACTGATTCTGAGCACTATTTGAAGGAATACCACAGTGGAATTAATTTTCTGGTTTAGAAAGTCTATGCCCAGTAAAGCTGGGAAATAACTTATGATGAGTTTCTTTTCTTTCTTCCTTTTTTTTTTTTCTTTTGTGTGAATTTACATGGGAGTGAGAACTCAAAGAAATGCAAAATTGCTAATTAAAAGTACACCTAGATGTACAATCACATATTTGTCTATGTTAGGTGGAAAGAATAAAAAACAAGGTTGAACAAATAACCAAAACATCATATGTCTACCCTAGCAAAACATAATACTCGTTTAAGAAGCTTGATGCAGACTGCAGCATAAATAAGCAAGTTAATATAAATATGTGAATAAAACTTAAAATAAAGGTTGCAGGTGAATATTGTGCTTAGACATTAGAAAACATTGATTTTAAAGTGATTGTGAAGCCTGAAGTCCTTGTTGCTTGACTGTACCTGAATTGCATAAATAGCTGCACAGGAATGTAAAGTTGTATTACAAGTATGAGAAGTTAAAATGGAAAACAACGTGAAGTTCAGCAAAATAATCACTGTAGATCAAGAAATAATTATCTTTCAACATCATGGCTTCTAATCATAATTAAACCCTGTCCAGGAGTCTGTTAAAATAAGTGTTGCCTATGGTAGTGAAATGTTAGTATAGATAATGCTATGATAATAAAGTCCTATACTGATATTTTTTCCTCCAGCAAATGGGCTTAGTGAAGGAACTCACTATGTTGGTAGAGTTTGGAATATGGCTTTTTTAATTGAAAATTCCAACAAAAAATTCCATTTGACTGTTTCTTCAAGCACTGGTGAAGCAGGCTGAAGTTTCTTCCAGATTCTGTTTTACTTCATTTTTTCCAGGGACAGCATTATTTCAATTTGTAGCTTTCCTTTGAGATAAGAAATAAAAATTACTCAGGATGGAGGAAATGTAAAGTTTTTTAAGCTACTTGCTTGTGACTGTGAACTGCTAAGAGGAGTGCTATGCTATTGGAGATAGGATGGTAGCGGGCAGCTGAGCCCCTGTGATTAGGTTCTCTCTTTTCAGTAACATAGCTTCTGTAAGATGGAATCAAGTCTAAGTCCCTGTAGTTTTTTGTGCAGTTTCTTAAGATGAATTTTCTATGTTGCTGTACATGTATTAAGGAGTCTTGCTGTTCTCACAGGTTCCTAGATGAGAAAGGCTTTATCTTAATAAACAACTGTAGGAAACTTTGAGTACCATTAAGACTGGCAGGGGAAAAAAAGATGTCTGACTGTTTATTTAGTGGTAAGTTTCATTAATGTGGATACTTCAGTCCCTAGAAATACTGAAGAGTCACTAAATTGGTGACTAATGCTGCCTGTAGTTCAAAAGTCTGGATAGATGGTGCTTAGCTTTGGGTTGTTTGGTAACTGAGGGTAAATACTATCCCACATTTCACACCACCTTACAAAATGTCTAGCTTGGTGGATAAATTGAGAGAATTGGATGTTGTTTGTGTTGTCACGATAGCCTTGATAATACGTTTGTCTCCCATAATATACTTTGAGACGAATATACGTTATAGGTTAGATAAATGAACTGTCAATGCAATGGGCAGAAACGTGGCTGAACTGCCAGGCTCGGAGCGTTGTGATCAGTGACAAAGCCCAGCTGAAGTCCAGTCACTAGTGCAGATCCCAAGAGTTGACACTGAGGCCAGTACTGTTGAACATCTTTTATGAGCTAGATGATGTGGTAGAGCATCCCTCAGCAATACTGCAGATGGTGCAGAACTTGAATAATGATACAGCAGATGAGTTTACTGCTATTAATACAAACTGGAGAAACGGCCTGACCTCATGAAATTTAGCAAAGAGAAATGCATCCAGGGAGAAGTAAATACAGGTTTGATGCTGACTGGCTGGAGAGCATCTTGATGGGAAAATACAAGGGGTCCTGTAGGATATAATATTGAACATAAACCAGCAATACATGATTGTGAAAAGGCGGCCAGCAGTATACAGGGCTTCATTTGGAAGGCAATTGTCAGTAGGTTGATTTTTTTTTTTTTTCTCTTTCCTCAGTTATGGTGATATCACGTGTGGGGTCATTGACCCAACGCTGGCTTCCCCAGTGTAAGGAAGATGTGGACATGATAATGTAATGAGTGAGAGAACTGGAACATCTGTCATACTAGGAGAGGGGCAGAGGGTGCTTGGGCTGGTCAGCTTGGAGAAAAGAAGACATGGGAAAGACTTTAGCAATGTATATAATGCCTGATGGAAGGAAATAAAAAAGACTAAACCAAACTAAGTTTGGTGCTTGGTGAGTGAATAAGAGGCAATAAACTTAAATGAAAGGAAACATTTTTCTGTAAGGGTAGTAGTACACTGGAGTAAGTTACATGTAGAATTTGTGTAGTTTCTGTATTTGCAGCCATTCAAGATGTGACTGGGCACAGTTCTAAACAATATTCTAGCTCTGTTCTGGGCTTTCTGGTTCTTTTTTGTGGACCACTGCACACTCATTTGAGGTGTGCTGACAAATCTTGGGCCATACCATTTCGGAGTTCTATGGATGAAGTGTGCTGTCAAGTTTTTTGAAGATAAGAATCCTCAGTAATTAACCCAATTAAACATCTCACTTATTTGCAAACTGCAAGTTAGTTAGTGACAGCTGGTAGGTGATGAAATTTCAGTTGAATTCTGAGCAAAAATACTTTTTTTTTAAATATAATTGTTATTCGTAGAATTTTAGAACAGTCCATGTTGAAGTGGACCTCAAAATATTGTCAGATCAACCCTTCTGCGGGAAAAGGTACTTACATGTCCAATTGTCTCTTGAAAACTCTGAGTGATGAGGATTCTGAGGATTCTGCCATGTACTTGGTAAGGTTGTTTCCGTGGCTGATTATTCTCACTGCACCTAGAAGAGCACTCTTCAGTGTGTGACCGCGTTCATATCTCAGTGTGGTGGGCAGTTGTTAGAGATGGTACTACTTCCTTCCTATTCTAAACGTCAGATCAAATTATCTTACTCAACTAGGGCTGTGTCTGTAAAAGGCACTTTACAGTAGAACAAAAAGCCACACTTGAATACACTTTAGGTATTAATAAAATGAATGTCCATTTTTTAATTTGGTCCCAATCCTAAGCTTGTGTTGTGTGTTTATATTGACAAAATAATTTGCTGCTTTCTGAGATTTATGTACTGAAGTTGCTTCTACATCATAAATTCATTTCATTAAGAACTTTGATAAATATACGATTGGTGCCTGTGACTGTAATTAAATAAAATTATCAACCAGGTGCTTGGGAAGCATAACCAAGAGAGAGGTAGAACAGTGACATAAATATGTTAAAAGGAATAAAGAAAGAGACTGGGGGAAAAAAAAAAAAAAAAAGAGATGGAATTGGATCAGGAGCCGAAGTTGTAGACAGAAATTACTTAGATTTCAAAATATAACTTGAGCAAGTTTCAGTGTTCTGTGTAATATAATGGTGCTGTGCCAAATTCTGGTTTGATTGAAGCTCATTTTAGATAATCCATTCTGGATTTCTGGATTTCCTCAAAAGTATGAATATTTAACTCTTATTTCAAGTAGGAGTTATTTGAATTTACATACCGGAAGAAAAACTTTCTAGGGAATTTACTGTTTAAGAGGTATGTTGTGAAAACCTTAGTGCACGCTGGCAGCTGTCTTGATATGCAAATGTTTGCTGCTGATTGAGTTGTACTCACCAGCAGATACCTGTAAGCCTCCAGTGTAGTATAATCAGCGTATTTTTTTAATACAGTTCATTTGGAAGAGATCTATAATGTTCATTAAGTCCAACTGTCTGACTGTTTCAAGGCTAAACAGTGTTAAAGCACATTAATGAGGGCATTGTCTAATTGTCTCTTGCACACTGTCAGCCATGGGGCACGTCTGGCACTGCCTTGTCCTAGGTGCAGAACCTGGCATTTTTTTTGCTGAATTTTGTGGTGTTGATGATTGTCCAGTGCTCCAGTGTATCTAGATCCATCTGCAAGGTCTCTTGTCCCTCCAGGAAGTCAACAGGACCTTTCAGTTTAGTGAACTTGCTAAGGCACTCCACTCATGCATCTAGGTCATTGATAAAAATGTTGAACAGAACTGGCCTTAGGACTGAGCTCTGCAAAACACCACTACTGATTACTTCAACCCTTGCTTTCTGAAGTACCACAGTAAATGTTTAACTCACTTTTTAAATTGGAAGTTAAGAAATTAAAGTTAGGAGGACAGTGTTAGGCTTGTTAAATAACCATTTCCAGATTGTTCTTTTTGTCCTTGTCATTAACTTCATAGTGTGAAAGGGCATGGAAGTAGCAGGGATTCTTTGTGGAGCCACAGGTTGGACTCACTGATCCATGTGGTTCCCTTTTGACTTGGGATGTTCTGTTGTTCTCTGATAATTATAAAAGTGAAGCAAAAGAAACGTTTCTTGTGAACAGCAGATCGATATGTATGTTCACATAGCATAGTGTCTACTGAAATACATTTTCTTCTGTTCTAAATTGAGTTTGTGTTGTGGTTGCACACTATTCTCAGTGACCAGTTTTTAAATACTGTAGGGCATGTTGGAGTATGGGGTGAAGCACCTATAAAATGATAAAGAAAACCATGTCTTAAGTGCTTTAAGATACAATACCACTGTCAACATTTACAGTAAAACACAGCTGCTGATATAATTTGCTGTGTTGCGAATACATGCTCTTGAAATTAAATTTACAAGTGAGTATAATGTTGAAGTGGATATAAGTCTCAAACTATTAATTTTTTTGCAGATTTCTTTTTAAACTTCATGTTTATAATCATGAATTGTTCTAATTTTCTTCTGTGTGTGAACAAAATTATATCTCTTTTATGCCTGCCTGCAGTATCTGCTTATTGTCATTGCTGAATACATCTTTTGGGGAAGTAAAAATGTTGTCAAGATTGGTCAGAAATTACTGTGTTGCAGCTTTTTCTATGAATATTTAGCAATGGGAAAGCTGGCAGTGAGAAGACATTTGTGGTGGGAGAGTAAAGTAGTGGAGCTCTCTTGCATCTTTTGAATTGTCTTCTTAACTTCCTATTTAAAAAGTGAGTTAAACATTTACTGTGGTGCTTCAGAAAGCAAGGGTTAAAGTAATCAGTAGTGGTGTTTCACAGAGCTCAGTCCTAAGGCCAGTTTTGTTCAACATTGTCTATCCGCATACTGTGGACACTCTGTGTCATATATCAACTGTAACTTAGTGTAAAGCAAGGATTCTGTGGAATAACCAGTACTTCTGGGAGAAAAATACACGCAGGATGAAAGCCACTGCTGCTGTAATTGCAAAGGACTTCTCAAATAGGATTTGGATATTTGTTTCTTTCCTGTCTCACCTATTGTCATCACTCAAGGTTAGCGTTCCCGCCTGCCACAAGTTTTCCTCTGGACAGGATGCTTTTAAATGTGGATAGGCCATCATGAAATCACCTTCTGCTACAAGCCTTTTGCTTCTGTAGGTTAGTGGCAGTATTGGGTTTTCTTTTTTTTTTAATCTAGTTTGGACTGCGGTCAGCCCTTATACTATAGCAAGAATCTTCATGGAAGGAGGATTGTTTTGCACCAGCTTGATAATCCAAATGCCTGAAGCCAAACCATGCACTTCAGTTGTTAACTTTCCTATGCCTGCATCAAAATACAGCTTATTTTGTGTTTCGCTTTGTGTTACCAACTGATTCTCATCACTTGCAGCAAAATCAGGGCCTCTAATCTGTTCTGTGTAGATCATTCAGTGGTTTCTTCAGAAAACAAAGTTTCTTCAGCAATCTGATGATTTCCTACTTGTGAAATAACAGCCTGGATAGTAAGTAGCTCCACTGGAGGAAAAAAAAAAGACTTCTAAGGATTTAAAGCATTTAGATATGTTTATCTTGGAAACCTTTTGTAAAAGTAAATGGCTGTTTTAATGTGTTTGTCACTTTTAGAGTCTTCGACATTTTATTTGTTTGGGGATTAATTGCTTTTATTCTGCATAACTGTCTCATTATGGTCTTTCTGCCGGAAGGTAATGCTGCTTTCTATGTGGAAAATAAGTTTCAACTGCTGTAGCAGTTTTTCTGTAGATTACACAAGCAAATATAAAAATATATATAAGTATGCTTAGATCTCTAATTATCCTCCTTGTTCATGGATCCTCTAACCTGTTGTTTTTTTTACCCCCCCTATTAGATCTTGGATATGAGCAGTTTAAGATAGCAGAAAAGTCTCATGGTAACTGGATCAAACTGTATCTAGAGGGGAATAATTCAGAAATACTCTTAAATCTTGGCAAAAAGGTCCTGAAACAATACTTGGAGGCCTTGAGGACACTGAGTTCTTCACTAAGCAAACAAGTGGCACAATATGACATGTATTCGATGATGGTGGGGACTGTGATCATTATGGAGGTAAAAAAAAAAATACATCTTTTTATGGAGAAAGCTAAATGCAAAACATAAAAGTTCCTGTTGTTTGACTATTTAGTGTATGTTCTTCAGAATTAAGTATTTTAGTGTTTGCTGTCCGTATTTGAAAACTGAACGTAGTACTCTTTTTAAAATTATTATCCTTTGAAATGATTCAAGAGAACTTACGATGCCTGTAACTTGGTATATATGCACATGACAAGTCAAAGAATAGCTTGGGTTGGAAGGATCCTTAAAGATCTAGTTCCAACTCCATACATAAAAAAAAATCTGCAGTGAAGTTCCTACTTTTTTCACCTTTATCTAACAACAAACACAGCTGCTCAGAGCAAGCTAAAGCCTATATGCCCATTTTTTTCTCCAGCTTTCTGAGAATTCTTCTTGGTACTGATAAGCCAGTAGTCCTGAAATGAGTACTTGCTGGAGGAGACAAAGTTGCCATTCCATATCTCTTGTAGGAGTAAAGATAAGATACCACATTTCTGGAATTTTAAGTGATTCTTTGCAATTGATAGTTTGGGGAGGTCTCATGTGCTGGAAATTGCCTCTGTGGTAATGCTTTGAGAAACATGCTGGTGAGTTACCCTGCACTAACATATACAAAAACGTGCATTTACAGCTTAGGTGACATTTTTGTCAACTTTTGTGAGAATTAGCTCCCTATGAGAAATATACCTTGCCTGCGTATAGCATCATACACCTACAAGGCTGTATAATAGCTATGCATCTAGTTATGTTCAGTGTCTGGAATGGATAACGGGTCATAAGTAGCTATTTTGTATTTGAGTCTTCTCAACCCTTGCAGGCTGTATTCCTCATCTTGTACACAGAGCACATTTGAGATGGCTTTCTCAATGGGCTTTATCACTGCTTGCCTCTTGACAGGAGCTAGTTCCACAGCCCCCACAGGGCACAAGATGGTAGGTTCTGAGATGGACAATGCCACTCTGAAGCTGAGGTGCTTATAGTCCTTTCATGTTTCTTTGTTTCGTGAACCTAAGGATTCAAGCCTTTACAGTCACTTTGTACCTGCAGCACTGGATTTCTTTTTTTGCAATTGTCAGTGCTTAGTCTTTTAACAAAACAGATCTCAGTATTTTAGTTAATGGCTCTTTATCAACAGAAACCTTCAGTTAATAGCTCTAACAGTGAAAAGTTTGCCTGATGAGAGCCTGCTCGGTGTCACTGGAAAACTATATAATACAGCTGGTTTTCTGTGTGGTTATTTTCTTTCCAGTTGAAAACTCAAGAAATTGCCTTACTTTCCAAAATGATTTTGTTTTATATGTATTTTCCACCCTTTGTGGAGAAATAAAGGCAGGGAATATCACAGGTGACTTCAAACTACATGATTCTACAAGTGCTATTAATCCTCTATTTTAAATGAGGAGAATATGTCTAGTACATTAATAACCATGCATTTACTCAAAAAAGCTAAATATAGATTTGTAGATAACTACAGTTTGAGCATTTTAGTATACTGAGTGCTTTGTTCTAATTGTAAGTCCTATATTAAAAAGTAAAACCTGAGCCAATATGATACTGTGAAACCTCTTGCTTCCAAATGTAAGTGAATGCACTACTGCAGTGCATCAAAAATTTTTTAAAGACTAATTTTTACTATATGTAGCTGTAATGATGGGTGAGTTTTAGGTAGAGGTCTTCACAATTGAATGATTATAGATTGGCTTTGCTCTGATAGAATAGTTTTTATTTAGATTTGTTTTAATCTTGCCTTACCACAAGCAGATTGAGCCCAGTTTATTACTAGGTATGTGTGTGCCTCTTGCAGAGTATCTTTCCAGTACATGGCTGGATTTTCTCTTTACGTGCACATAGGTAGCAGAAATTGCTAATGATGGCATTCATCTTCACTGGTACAGTTACCTGGGAAAAAACCTGGAGTTCTGAGAGATTGGTCTAAGTGATTGGTGTGCAAGCTATAGCAAAGTGAAATTGGTAAATCAAATTAAGATAAGGAGAGAGACAAAAATAAACACCAGGAGAATTCTTAAGCTCTGAAAACAGCATACATTTACGTGATAAGATGAGCACTTTTCCTGGCCTGGGAAGCTACTTTACTCAGCAAGAAATCTGAGATAAAAGGCCATTGTTAGAGCGTGCATGTCACTTTAGGCCTTTGTAGGCTATAAATAATGAGTCAGATTTGTTTATTCAAGAGCTATTTTTGCATTGAGACTTAAAACACTAAATTCTGTGGAGAGTTGAAATTCTCACAGTGAAGGCAGATCATGCACATGGCCAGTCACAGCAGGTCAGAAGGTACTTATTTGTTTATTAGAACCTGATAAACTGTGTGTCCAACCCCTTAAACTGATAAATAAAAGCACTATTTTTGCTTTGCCCCTATATATGGTGAAGTCTTGCACCGGTTGGAGCACCCAGCATAGTGGGTGCTATTTTAAGATGAAGTGGCTTTTTTAAGATGAAGTATATATATTAGCGTTACGTGGATGACACAGCATAAGTTTTTTGTGTGTGAATTCTGGCTGTGTGCCTTAGCTAATTCTTATTCTTTACCTGTCAGTTCTCTGCTTTTTTTTTTCTTTTTCCCCATAGGTTTTGCTGCTACTTTTTCTCAGTGTGCCAAAAGCTCTGAGCAGTCGGGCAGAATTTGAAGTGCCCCTCTCCCCTCCGCTCTTCTCTCTGCTGTTTTACTTGATGTGTCTGATGCTGTGTGCAGTTCACGTCATTGTATGCACATCAGCAGAAAGTTTATGCTATTTCTGCAGTATGTCCTGGTTAACTGCAGTTGGAGTGATGATGCTGATTTCTGCACTCATGTGTGGCATTTTATCTGCCGTTGGAAAGATTCTTGAGAATTCCAGACTTCCACCGAAGGTGAGAGCATGCATTAATTATGGTTCACAGAGTTTTGCTCCTTGTGCCATACTTTCAAGTAAAGTTTTGTGGAAGATTTTTGTATGTGTGTACATAGAAGAATTGTTGTTTGTAACATAATTAAAATCATTCAAAATTAGTGTTGAAATGTGGCATGTTCACTGTGATAAAATATTGTTGTAAAGAAGATGACAGAAATGCTTATTTTCACTTTACTTTGAGAAATATTCTGATCAGATTAAATTATTTTACAGTTGATTTTAATGTCAGAAGCAGTTTAACTGTTATAAAAAGCAGTTTAACTAATTATAAACTCTTACACGGAGATGTTTCACAACTGCAGTTGATGCAAGATGTGTGATATTTTGTAAGAACAATTTTTTCAAGCAAAAAGCAGATTTGTGACTTAAATAAATGTGCAATTGCTGTATTCAGCATAACTGAAAAAAGAGAGTACTTAGCAGAATTAATACTGTTGGAATTCCTGAACTTACCTATACATTTAAAATCTTTGAGTGAGGCTACTGATTTTTATGATCCGAGCTCTAAAAGTTGGAATTTATCACTTTGTGTCTGCAACTTCTGAATTTGCCATTCTCTCTCAGACATCTGATTTTTCTGAGACAAGCCTTGGGCTAAAAGTAATTCCATTCTCCTCTCTTGAAGACAACATTTTTTTTTTTTCCTTCTCAGTTTTCTTTCATGCCGTTTAGTGTATTAGAAGTGATCAAGGAAGGGAGTTGTTGTAGGTCATAGTGTTTCATTCTTACGCTTGTATTTATTGGTAACATAAAGTTAGTGTGTGTTGAACCTAGGCTTAAATAGTGTAAAATGTCACTAATGGTATCAGGGAAAGAAGTTTCATTTGAAGTATAACTCCTAGCATGAGTCTTTCTGAATGTAGATCATAATTTGCTTGTAGCTCTGCAATAATTTTCATTATCGTGTCAAACTAGTTGTAGTGTTCTGATACCAACCCTAGTGATGCTTGTGTGGATTATTTTTAAAGGCAAATGAAAGAGCACAAAATTAATTAGTGTGAGTGGAAAAATCTGCTGGAGAAGATGTCTTGTTTTACAGTTTGTTAGCGTTGTTAGTACCTAGGGGTGTGTTTGTCTTTAAATGGATTCAGTTTAGCCTTTTCTAGGTTACATAATGAGATGGAAGTTTTCTTTTGTAGGAAGGAAAATTGTATGACCTTGAAAGAATAGTTAATGATCACTGGATTGCATAGAATCTTAATGTTTATTTCCTGTGCAACAGAAAGGAAAAGCAACTACAGGAAACAAGCTCGTTTGTCATCCTAAGTGTTAATTTTTTTTCTAATTTTAATCAACAGTAAGAACCTTAAAATGACGATGGCCTATACCTACATAAAATTTACACACAATCCACTTTAACTTGGTCGAGAACAGTGATGGTGGTCTCAGGACAACTCAGTCTGTTTTTGATGTGAAGTCTTCCTTATATACCTGGAAAAGAGTTAATTCTCTGTGACACCCACCACTGTAGGAGTAGTGGGCTTTAGTGGTCTCTTATCTTTTGTCTCATTAAAGATAAAAGGAGAACTAGTCTTCAGACAGCAGTGTTGCACTTCAAACTGCATTCTGCCTATCTCTGAAGTCTGCTGAGAAAATGAGCACAATACTTTTCTTACATGTTTAAGATAAAACTTGAAGCCTCTGTAGGAGAGGATGTGGTGCAAATATTCTTTACATAAAAGTGCTTATCTCACTAGAGGCTAGTGCTCTGCATTTGGCTTTAGATGCCTGAAGACCTGTTTTCTATACTGTTTTTTTGTTTGTATTTCTTCCTTCATAGTCAAGGTATAACAAGTAAGCTGGAAGTACTTTGCAAAATTGTTATGAAAGAGCCTCTGCTTAAGTTGTTTTTCAAAATTCTTGTTTGTTGGGGACTTCCCTAGGGAAAACCTTTAAACACAGCTTCTGTGCCTTTGTCAGTCCTTCATTTTGCTTAATTTTGTCACACCTTTTGCTGTATGACTTTTTCTTTTTTCTTTTTCCTCTTTTTTTTTTTCTTTTTTTTTTTTTTGCATTTGAGATGAGGCTAACTGGGAGAGCTGTTAGCACAGTATTATTTGTCTGTAATTTTGATTATTCTCTTCTGAGTTTTCTGCCTTTTAACAGTCTGATCCGATCTTCCCTCTGTTTATTTATTTACTTTCTTTTCCCCAGTGAATTATGAATTCTTCATATGAGATAATATTCTGTGTGGTAGGGATTGAATCGTGCTTTCTCTTGTGACAGATAAGGGCTTGTAATTTTTGTTTCTCTGGCCACTGAATGCCTGTTAGCTAACCATCCACATGTATACTTGAAATGGACAGATAGTGTCCATCTCAGCTTGCTGGGTTTTGAAGATGGCAACGTCTTAGTATTGCTGTGTAACATTTTCCATTCCTGAATATCTCTCCTTTGGGGAACTGTCAGGGAATAACAGGATCTTACTAGGGCTCCTTACTGAAAAGAAACACTCGTGAACTGTAAACCATGAGGTCTCTTGGATGCCAAAAGCTTTCAGCTTCACGAACCCCAACAGTGGTGCCAGAACCAACAACTTATTGAGTTGGTCAAAGAGTGTGAACATAGTGTATGTAGGTCTTTCACCACTGTTAGCCTTTTGGTATCTGGCGTGACCCAGGAAACTTCAGAGAAGTCATTGAGTCCTCCTTGGAGCGAGCTTTGACTCAGATGTTTTGGGGCTTCCCAAACTGTGGTAGCTCTTCAGGGAACCTGAAGCAAAGGGTCAAGGCACACTCTTTTCTCCTTCCTTAGCATGGGTGAGCTTTTCTTTCAGTAATAAATTTAGAACTGGTTCTTACCACGTACTGCTTTACAGATATGAGTTCTGTGTTTTTAGTTTGGCCTGAGTCTTAGGGTATCATCCCCATCTGTTCTTGGTGCATTTACATCCTTGCTGGTGAGAGGCAGCTGCTGGTGAACTTCCTGCAGATGGCTTATATACTGCTATTAAAACTGCTCTGACAATGACGACAGCAGAAATTGCAAAATGCCACCTAGTATTCAAAATTGGATGGAATGTTTTTCCTTAGGAAACAACCTAATTGTTATTACCCTAATGGACACAAATAATTTTGTCAAGGAACACATCAAGTATGTGTGAAAAGCATTCTGTTCTGTTTCAGTTGTCTTCTTTCCCTACCCTGTTTTCCCTGTTCATCTGTCTTTGAGAACTAATTGAGCAAATACAGACTCATCAGATGCAATATGCTAGATACTGTTTCTAGTTTGTAAGAGAGCTCATCAGCTGGAGCTTTCTCCCTGGATGATGCAGAACTGTAAGAGCAGTACTTTTTTACTTGAAGATGGAGGATTCAGCAGCAGCTTGCCTGCTTTCCCTGTTTGGTACCAGTTGTTCAGGCCCATCTGGAACTTAGGAAGTGGGAAGAACTTTATTCACATGTGAAAACTGGTGTCACTGGCAGTAACACTTCTGTCATTTTAGGAAGGTGATTGTATAGTGTCTCTTGGACACAAAGATGCTTATTTGCTTCTCACCTTGGAAAATATCTACATTTGTAATAGAACATCTATCAATTCAAATGTTTCTTTCCTAGACTGGAAAGGTTAGAGAATGTGTGAAATTGGTGCATCATGAATCATACACATTTTCTGCTATTTTACCTAAGTGGAAGATCAGCACATACCAGCAAAAGATTAGCTGCTTCAAACTGGTAATAAATGATCGAGGACATTTTCAGCAATATTTTCAGGATTACCTCACCCCCAGATGAGGGCAGGTACAGGTAACAAGTACTGGATTCTCCATTCTAGGCTATATTTATATTTTGTATGTAGGGCATACTTGAGGATGTGAGAAGCTGAAATATGTCTTATGAAGGTAGGCCTGTAGAAATTGATTTTCATCAACCCATCTTCATCCCACTCCATAAATGACTGGATTAGTGGATTCACATCTCATCTCATTGTCAAATAAGCTTTTCTATCCCTGTTCGTGTTCCAGAGCAAGCTTATAATGCGTTGCGTGTTTAGTTAGTAATTGCTTCCATTCCTGATCTGTAAAAGCAGTGACCCTTTATTTGATTTACATTTTTCCAGTTTCAGGGCTGTTTGTAGGAAAGATACTGGTGGTGTCTTGCAGGTAGCTGTTTATACAAAGGTAGAGCTTGGAGAATGTGAAAGGGAGCAGAAAATAATCCAGTACTGCCTTTGTTGTGGGCGTGAGAGATTACTGACAAGTATTTGGAGGGCAATCAGTAAAACACACACACAATTGCATCTCATTTTCCATCCTCTTTTTCCAGCAGAATGCTTAGCCTTTAGGGAAGAAACTGTCTGTTTATACTCTCTGTCGATCTTGAAGTGTCTTCTATTAGAATTAGGAGTATTATTATGCTAAAATGTCTGAATCCAAGTGCCCGTGACCTGTGAATCTGCATGTGCTCTCCACATTTGAAACAGTTATGAAATCCTGCTTTTCAGATGTCAGGAGAAGAATCCTAAATCAAGGTCTTGCCATTTAAAAACACTAAAAACATTTCCTAAGCTCATGCTATATGGTAAACTGCAGGTATTTTAAAAGCAATTAAGATAACTTCTACTGTTAATGACTTCAGAGCTTTTTTTTTTTTTTCTTTAAATTGTTTCCGTTCACATCTAAAGATTTTTTCAAGTGCTTCTCATTTGTAATGCTCTTTTTTTTTCCACTGTGACTGAATATAGAAACTGATTACCAAGTTCATGAATTTTCTGAAGCCCAGTGCAGGCAGTGTTAGCATCTGCTTCCTGACTGTTATTTATAGGTTCTGATTACTATGTTTCTAGCAGTGCTAGTCCCTTCTTTTAATGACACTTAAGGCTTTAAATAATTCTGCAGCCCTTTACCAGCAGCAGCAGGTCTTTAAAAATGTTAACTATTTCTTCATGGGATTACTCTAATGGCAGTTTTTAAGTACAGTATTTACTACTACTTAAAAATGCTCTTTTTTCCCTTTATTTCTGATATAAATCAGAATCAGTAGTTCTATGAAAATAGGACCCAAAATTTAAGCTTGTCAAATACAGTTTAGAGAAGCTGTATTGTGCAGTATTGTAATGTGTTTTCATTACTTAGACAAAATGTCCCCTTTATATTTTAAAATACTCTGTTCATTTTAAAATGTTTTTTTCTTCCTCTATGCAGTATTGCCCACTGACTTGAAAAGTAAAATATTTTATACAATTGTACTTTAAAAATATGTTTGCATTTCTTTTATTTGAGGGTTGTGGAAATGACTGATTCGATGATGCCATGACTGAGTTGCTCTTAAAAATGACCTCAGCCTGCTGTGAAAGAGTATCAGGGGCAGATGTGGTCCGTAGTGTTTTGCTGTAGGGAAGTAATCATCATTAGAAAACAAGACTGGATGCAGGCAGCTCAAGTATCCTTGAGTATTTAAATTTTGGGTGATGGTGGACATGAAAAATAAAATGTTTCTTTCTAGAAAGTAATTTTAGGATTTCCCAGGCATTAAATATAGAAAGTCAATTGTTGTGAAAAAGATCTTTACTCTGAGATGAACAAAAAGTACATAACTGAAATTGGACCTGTATGACTATTTACTGGATGTTTTATTTAAAAGTAAAGAAAATGTAATTTGCATGGACAGGAGTGCATATATTGCATCGTTTATTGGCACCTATGTAGGCTAGCAAAAGATTTTTCAGGCATCTGTTTCTGAGTTACTTAGCTATCAATGCCTGTACGTCAAATATTAGAGCTATCCTCTAGAGTTGGCAAATGAGAGGTTTAAATTGAAAGCCCAGTATTTAAAAATCTCATAAACTGAAGATTTCATGCTACATTTGTGTACCAGGATAGTGGTGCGAGTCATTTTTGTTATTTACTATCTGGAGTGCCTACTGGGTTCCTGAGAGCTGGAGGTGTTAAGCAACTAGGAGCTCAGACCAGTGAATATTGAAGTCAGACCTACATTTCTGTGCCTGTAAAAACAGGTCCAGAAAGTAAGCACAATCCAAGTAATCTACTGTTAGTCTACATTATAAGCAACAACAAAAAGCCTTAATGATAACATTCCTAACGTGTCACAGCTCATATGAGGGATTACCAGTAAATTTAGAAAACCTCAATAAAGATGTTTCCATTATTTCTTAGACCATTAAGGCTCAGGAGATAATCATTTGCAGGATAATTTTTCAGCTTGCATGGATTTCCTCAGGTCACTAACTCTGGCCTGAAATGGGGCTTATCAATAAATACTGTTGGACTTAACCTTTTGATATGAATGCAGGAGTACTTTTTTTTTTTTTTCATTTTCACTGCAATTATTAGTCAGACATAAAACGTAGACTTCTGACACTGGGACATTTCTCACTAATACAGTAATTTTTATGAGGTTGCTGTATTTTCCTGTTGATAATGCATCATTTTCTTTTCAGCTTATGAACCTACTGTTCTGCCAAAAGAACTTGTTTTCCTGTCAGTGCTGACAGCCACCCAATACGATACAGCAATCCTTATGTAGATCTTATTTTGTGTCTTATAAAAGAGATGAATGGAATTGAAGACTGGTTCATTCTCATTAGTTGAGGATCTCGCATTGCTTTGTCTCTGCAAGCAGATGGTGCTTACATTCTCACTCATCATCAGTTAGTCAAGACTTCTAAGGTCAGCATAGTGAGGTTACTGGAGTTTAAGCTATAATTCAGTGATGCACCCATCATATGTCAGTCTTTGTGAATTTCATGGTCTGAGCAGACAACAGCTCTACCTGGACCTTTTGTTCCAAGATGCAGTATATGGTTTCTGATTTTCAAAGTAGAATACTAAACAGGAGGGAGTGATCTGCACCGAAGAAATTTCAAACACTAATAAATTCAGACTGGGTATATACAGTTTTTGACATGATGATGATGATGGTTTCTATGATAATTTTTTAGGTTTTTTTGGTATTACAGCATGTTACCTATTCTTTTTGTTGTTTGTTTTGTTTTATTTCTTAAGGACTATAACTTTTGAATAATAAAAATCTTTAACAGCACAGTAAATGGAGATGATATGAATAGGTGATTAGTTTAATTGTATCTCCTGCAATCATTTTCATCAATCTTATTCAGCCTTGATTTTACAGAAGTTCATAGAAACACAGAATCAACTGAGGTTGGAAAAAATCAGTAAGATCCATCCCCACCATGCCTACTAACCATGTCCCTCAGTACCATATCTTCATTGTTGCCATTGTTGCCAGAGGCAGTAACAACCACCTCCCTGTTCAAAATGCCTCACAACTCTTTCTGAGAAGAAAGTTTTTGTTAATATCCAGGCTGAAGTTGTTTTCCTCAAAGCAAAATCAAGAAAGTATTAATGAGCTTGTTGGACCAAGTGAGTTTGTTGTCCTCTCCATATTCTTGATTACTGAACAAAAATGTAGGCTACCGTCTATAAAGCTTAAGCATAAGTGAGATTTCAGAATTGCATCTAAATATTCAGCATTTTTAATGTATTTATACCCTCATTCTGGTTACTTGCTCCCAGCTTAGTGAGTTTCTATATTACTCTAGTGTAAATGATTTAAATAGTGGTACACTGGGTTCATCTGTATGTTGTATGTGCAATTTATTTCTATGAATATTCAAGGTTGTTTTTTAAGTTTATTCACAAGGTCAATGAAGCATGGTTGAAGTATGTACTTGAGGTTAACATGAAAGTGATGGCAGATTTTTGTTCTGGAGTGAATAGAACTTGGAATGATTAGGATTTGTCTTTTATTAGGCATTTATAATATAAGCTTAAGACACGCTGCTTGATATTCACTCATAGAGGAAAGATTAATGAGAACATAAAATGACAAATGATGATTTCTGATCTTGATGATTTTGGCAGAATGATGATTTGTCAGAATGCCTCACAGATATATAGCTTTACTAACAAAGACGTGTTTGGAAGCCCATGCTGCCTTTGGGCTTGGGCATGTCTTCTTTTCTGCTGGAATCATGCTCAGGTTCTCATGCCAACCTCCAGCTCAGACTTCAGGTCTTCTGAGGGACAGGTTTTCCTCTTGCTCAGACCCTGGCTTGGGTTTTTCTGTCAAATTAAATATAGTCTCATAATGCAGAGGATTAAATTTAGCAGAGGAAAAGATAAACACACTGATGCCTCTCCAGCCATGTCCCTTTGACCTCTCACATAGCCATACACATGCCAGTCTCTCCATTTGCTGACATAAGGCCCATGAATTGTGTGGCTCAAGGCCTTGCCGGCCATGGGACCTTGAAGTGCTCATATGTGGACTGAGGGTGAAGTTACACAGGACGGCAGATACAAGCTCTGGCAAGATACAACAGACTGCAGCAGTCAGGCATAGGATTCTCAGAGCGATGGCTGGCTGGCTCATGTTCTTACATGACTGGCCCTTCTCTCTCTTTCCCCCTCCCTCTACCCTGTTCTTCTACATCCCCATCTCTGCCAACTTTGACACGTTCCAGCATTCCTTAGTAAGAAAGCACGCGTATCTCCACAGGCCCCCTCAGATACTCATCCTACTAGTGTTAGCTTATTTCCCTTTATCAGTTACAAAGGCCAGATTGATGCTCTTCAGATCTCTGCCTGTGTTTTCTTAATGGCCCATCAATTAATGGCTGAAGAGTTCTGGTCCCACTTACTGTCTCCCTTAGTGCTTACTTATCAGGTTTCTGTCTCTGTGTGTTTTGTTAATGGCTTTCCCTTTTATTTCCCCTTCCCTGTGAGGTGAGAAGGTCTTTAATATGATGACTCCAGTGAACCAGATGTTCCCACATTCTCCATTCCCGTACACTCTCTTTTTAGCTATATCATTGAAGGCAGTAATGATGGAGCACTTTGAAGGAGCTGCTGTGAGCAAGAAATCGAACTAATGGAGGCATTAGACAAAGAATTCTATTGTTGGTTTTTTGTGTGTTTTTTTTTTTGAGATGCTTCACAGCATGTGAAGTAAATAATAGCTTGATAACACATTTTATGATGATGGACACGTTTCAAGATATAAGGAATATCAAGGAATAAGACATACATCAGACTGTTTTTAACTTTTGTTAATTAGAGTAGTGAAAGCTGTCACTGTAGTGAGTTGAGGACATCACAGACTTAACCACTTAGAAAACTGCTGGTTATTTGCATTTCAAGTTTGATTTCTACAAGATTTCTATTTTCACTTTGACAGGGAAAGAACTTTTTTTTTTTTTTTTTTTTTTGTCAGAGGATGGTAAGGAATTTAAATCTGTTTAGTTGTAATTATGAAGTTGTTTTTTTTAACCTTAAACAAAGCGCTATCTTAAACAATGTTCTGCTGTAATGCTAACTAAACAGGCAACAATATAGTGAACCTCTCATCAATTTGTAGGATTTGTCAAGGTAAAAATAACTTGTCTCATTGTTTATTTGGTTTATTTGTAGGATATTGCAGTAAGCACACTTTGAATGCTTAAACAGCTTTTAAAGCATTTTTACACTGTTGCATTTTTTCATTTGCAGAATCCTGGTGCATGCAGTTCCAGCTGGTCAGAAGTAGATGTACTGATCCTGGCTGGAACAATTGGTCATGTTTTGAGTTTGGGAGCAAGCAGTTTTATAGAAGAAGAACATCAAACCTGGTATTTTCTTATCAATACCCTTTGTTTGGCTCTGTGTCAGGAACTCTGTAGAAATCATTTTCTTCTGAAAGAATGTGACCTTCAGCTTGGCATCACTCTGAAACAAAATTTTGATAGTATTGGAGAAGCCTCAGAATGCAAGAATATAGATGTACAAGCAGCAAGTAGTTCAAAACTAGGCAAGGCTGCATCTTCAGCTGAATCTGTGAAAGGATCAGATAAGTGGATAAGCTTAGCAAGTCCATGGATCATTCTTATTTGCTGTCGACTCCTTCGATCCTTGAATCAGACAGGGGTCCAGTGGGCTCATCGGCCAGACTTTGGGCACTGGTTGACAAGGTGGGTGACAGATTTATTTTCATACTTTCTGTGTTATTTAGAAGTTAATGTGTGTTTTTTTGTTTTTTTTTTTTAAGTATGTGAACATTTCTCTACAATCTCTGTACTAGAAATTGCTGTAAATATGAAGGGAGTAAACAGTGAAGCATCATGATGAATTTTTCAGCACAGGAGTTATTCCTCGGGTACTATCTTATAATCTTAGCCCTGCACCATGACTTATCTAATTAATGCCAATTATACACGATAGGTTTATCAGAGGAAAAAAGTAGACATCTTCAGAGGCTAGTTTGGGAAATTAAAAGACACGTAATAGAATTAAACTCTTAATTTAAAAGCAGAAGGTTCTTCTCAATTCCAGATTTCATTAAGTTGTAGACAAAGGTACTGCACAAAAGAGTTTTTCCTCGTCTGTCACAGTCATTTAATGTGTGGGTGGAAAACTGAAGGAATTTTTCAAATGTAGTGTGGGAAATGGAGAAAGGGAATTTCTTAAAACTTGAAGCTTTTATTTCTTCTACTGCCTATTAGTATTGTGAAGAACTACAGCCACTATTCAGTGACAGAAAGTACTTAATATCTGAACTGTTTTCTGGATGTTGTTCGGTAGATGGAATTGCAACACCTTCCAACTGACTAGTCAGTGTTTTGCAGACAGCAGATGGGGAGGCTTTTTGTAAGATAGAGATTTCTTGCCAGTATCTTACAATGTGTTGATGAAATGTCATTCATCATTCATTAATAGAGACATGAGTAAATCAACCAGTATGAAACTCGTTACATATTGGCAGCCCCACAGATAAAATGCCAATTGCTGTGACAGGCATGAGTGCTGAAAGACATGACTTATGAGGAAGTTTATTGCATTACCAGAGCTTTCACCGTACTTCCTCTTGCAATGCAGAGAGGCATTGAGAAAGCAGTGTTATATACAGTTCTAGTCACAGGAAACTCCTTCATTGTGAGGTAAGTCACTATGTGACCAGGATTAAGTGTGATTCAGTGTGACTGGGAAGATTATTATTATTATTATTGCTATTATTGTTATTGGTTGTTATTTTTAAAGATTAACCCCCAGTATCTTCCAAAGATTTAGTTGTTGAATAACTTTCTGGTCCAGATGTCTTCCTCAGGGTGTCAACTCTTTTCTTTGGAACATACTACTATAATGCCATGGAAGAAAACTTGGTATTCTTGCAGCTAAAGAAAAATTGCATTTTTTCCAAAGATGTGCTCTTGCTGCTGTTGTCCCCCAGGAATGTTTACTGACTCTTGGAAATATTACCAACCTTCTAAACACTGTGGACTTACCACCAAAGATACTGTACCAAAAAAGTGCACCTTCACCTCGCCACTTCTGACTTCATGATGCAAAGTGTGCCTGTGTAGAGCAGCACACCCTACTGTAGTGGGGACTAGTCTGCGGCTAGATCAGATGCTTTTAGGGCTTCTTGAATAATAATGAAAGCTGGAAAATCCTTTAAGTTCAGCTCTAATGGTTTTACTAGATTGGTGGTTGTCTACAACTCTTCTGGCTTAGTCTTTTTGTTTCTTTTGAGTAGAGGGGTGGGAGAAGGAGTTTATTGTATTGTTTCATTTTTTTCTCTGTGAATTTAAGTTGGCACTTGTTGAGATTTTTGTTGTCCTACGTATTTATCCTGTTGAGGTCTCTCTAAATGGCACACAGCCATCTGTTATACCAGCTGCTTTTTCAGTTTTGCGTTGTTTGCATTTGCAAGCTTGCCCTCTGGGCCATTAAAGAAGATGGCCCTAGTGTGAAGCCCTGGGGTTGGATGCTAGTGAGTGGTCTCCAGGTGGAGTGGTCTCCAGTTGTGCTGCTGATGAGAATGCTGGGCAGCTTTCAGTCCATCCCTCTGTCCACTTACCTGATCTGGGGACTGCATCGATTTGCCTGTGAGGATCTTGTAGAAGTAAAAGCCTTGTTAATGTTCTGATAAACAACCTTGCCTGCAGTGCACCCTTCAATGAGCTAGTCATCACAGAATTCTATCAGGTTGATTGACAATTACCTTCCCCTTCATAAATCCATAACAATCATGTAATTAAAGCTGTGTGACTCCATGGTGAGAAGAGCTGAAGTACTGGCAGCTAGATATCAAAACTGAAACTTACTGGTGAACTGCTTCTTGTGTTTCTCTCCTAATTATAGTATCATATTTGGGTGTATTTACTTTGATCCTGAAGCAAGTAGAAGAGAAAAGGTCCTACAACTATAGCCATAATCTGTCATTGCTTGTTTGGAAGTAATGTATATTAAAAGAGCTGTTACCTTACCAGGCAACGTACCTGTTATCATGTGTTTCCTATCACAGGCCCTGTGTTTTACCAGCAAAGCTGTTGCTTTGTCAGTATGGTGAAATAACTCACTGAACTGGTATGGCTGGTAAAATATCCCATTGTTGTGCAGAAAACTAATCTTTTAGATGAGATGCATTATGTCCCATTCTGGTTTACCGTGCAGCTTAATTGGCAAATGTTCTGCCACAATATATGGACTGGATTAGTAAGGGAAAGAAAGAGTGTGCAAGCCAGCACTATGGCTATCCAAATTCATTTGAAAAAAAAAAAAAAAAAAAAAAGCAGCAGTATCTGCAGCTTCTGAAATGCAGCATATGTAAACTTTTTTTTCCTTTCTGTTATTGTCAAGCATTGCTTATAAAACCCAACTTGCCTGTCAGATGAAAAAGAATTAATGATTCTCAAGTTTCTTCTTTTTCAGCCTTAAAAAGAAAAAAAAGACAAACAAAAACAACCTTAGTCCAGAGTGCAGTACCATGGCGGGCTAAGACAGTGTGTAACTGGGGCTGCCTCATTCCTGCCTTCTTCCTTTCATTAGTGTAACAGCTTTTCTAGTGTTCAGAAAGCACAGAAAAGCAGAATCCTGGCATAAGTTTGTTCAGGCTGACGTGAAGGTATATCCTGACACAAATCACGGGAGCAGTTTTAGCCTAACAAGAGGATATAGTATGTGTCATCATTCTGACATATGCCTAAGTTGCTTTATACGGTTAAAAGTTAACCCTAATAGCAGCATTTAAAGTGCACAATTTTTGACATAAGTGGTAAGTGCGGGTGAGATAAATCCTGTCTTGGGCCTGAAAGGCCTCACTGAATGAGTTTCCAAATGATTAGTGAATGAATCAACTAAATCTCTGTGCATGCTCTGGTTTGTGAGGGTCCTAGCTTCTATTAGGTGAGCGTGCTTGAATTTTCTTTGGTTAGAGATTTCAATGTCTTTGTTATTTCTCTTTCACAAGAGAACAGTATGGTAGAGGTGTCTGTTTTCCTAGTATTTTGATCAGGATTGAGATGATGGATTTTCTTTATGGACTCAGTTAAAAGCTAGTGATAGGCTGAGTTGCATAAACCACTCATTCCTCTTCCCAAAGCGCACTGTGAGCCTGTAAATTTGATTGTTGTTCTATTTTTAGTATGTGTTTAATTTGCATCATTGTGTCTTAATAGCATATTTCCCAGTAATATGAAATCAGAACCTTTCTCAGATAACATGTATCTTGCTAGTTCGAGTTACAGCTGCTGAGGCTTTTTGTTTTTCAGATAAATTGACGAACAGTCTTTTCTCTTTTTTTTTCTTTTCCTCCTATATTGACCCTGTGGTTATCTGTTGTCATGCTCAAACTAATATTTTGCTTATCTGGACAATGCATAATGGGCTGACCATTCATTTAAGACAAAAAAGATTATTGTACAGATTTGTGCATGGACATATATCAGAAGCAAAAACAGAAAATCAGTTTACCAGTAGCATGTTGAATTTAGCCGTTCAGCATACATTGAATAATGCAGAAATTAGGGAAGTATTTTTTGATGTTTGCAGAGAGATTCTGCAAACCTGAAAGAAGAAATGCACTTTAATGGGAATAAGAACATCAGAAAATAGACAGTAGGTGAAGTAAAGAGAACATGCAGTTTTTGAATTTGGTGGTAATAAGGTTTTCTTTTCAATTAGCTAGCATTCAGATAACTTTGGTCACATGTTTAATCCCGGTCAAAGCTCATACTTGAAAGGTGTCAGAGCTGCTACAGGGCTCACTTGTGGAGGGGGTGAAGTAGTCAGTGGCAGCATCAGCTTGCGGAGAACTGACGAGAAGCAGCAGCATATAAAGACGATGATCAGTCCTTCAAATAATGTACTTAATTCCTCCTCCAGAAAATTAGCATGCAATGAGACGTGTTTGTATTTTGTTTTGTGCTAGAGGTATGGAAGTGAACAGTTAAAAAGGCTTTAAAATGAGATTCATCTGAGTATTTACAACTCCCTTCACTCTACTAGTTTGCAGGAATTAAGTGAGGTTGAAACAAGTCAAAGAAAATGTCTTTAACACCAGAAGTGTGAAAGTGTAGACCACCAGCTGTGACAGTAAGAGCATACAGACAAAGCTGCTTTTTTAATTCGGGCTCTCTATCGTGAAACTCCTGGTTCTTTGATTTCCATTGTGTGGCTTAGGCAAACACCACTAAATTTCTGCTGAGCTAGAGCAGCATGTTTCTGCATGGATTTCTTGGATTGATATCTCATTGAGAAGTTTGCTAAATGGCTGAATTCTGTGTTGAGCAACTGCAGTTCTCTTTCAGTATACATGCTAATTTAATGTGTGCTTAGCAGCCTAATTAGAAGAACCTTGATTGGTAAATGTGGAAACTGTAGGTGGTCTATAGTGACTCAACATAGCTTGTTATAAATCCTGTTTTATTTGTTTCTTCAGTAGACTCTATGAAACATTTAGACACAGGCTGGATATAAACCCCCATGCTAGCAATAAAGAATGTGCCATTAGTGACAGATGTGCTCGAGTATTTAAAAATACCCTTCCTTTTCACTGGGCCTTTTCTAAGGATTTTATTTTATTTTATTTTTCCCTTTTTTCTTTTTTTTTTCTTTTTTCCCCCCGCTGAGTATGATTTGCAGTGTTCATAGGGTTCATAGGGAATGGCAGATGTTATTGAAAGTCTTGCTGGATATAGCACTGCTTATTACTTCTTTCAGGTAGGAATATTCTTAATAATTTGCCTGATTTGATTTACCTCACTGTCATGCAATAACTAAGGAGGATACGTCCTGAAGGTATTCTTTTAAATGATTGTTTGTGGTAAATTTTAAAACATGCACTGGTTACTGAATTAGTTCTTTATGTACTTATGTATATATGAAATTATGCATATCTATCTCCACAAGATGCTGCAAGAATCCATTCACTTCTTATTCAGTCTCTTCCTGTAAAGAAAAATACTACTGAGGAAAAATACCAAGGGCACATAATATATCCTATAATGTTCTGGTTCATGTTGCTTTTCTCTGCTGTTCTGCAGAGAGCAGTGCAGCTCCTGGGAGTTGTCCATGAAGTGCTTCTGTGAACTGGGTCCTGCAGGGCAGGCTAACAGGGCAGTTTTTCTGCCCTGTATCCTTTCATCTGTGACATTTCAAAGCACAATAGCTGTCACAAATATTGGTTAAAATCCTGATAAAGCATGTACCATCAAATAGGAGGGTAGACCTATTGGAAGTACTGTAATTCTAATTAAATCAAAGGTAAAACTGGAGTTTTATAAGTGTGATCAGAGTTAATGCAGTCCTGGCTTAGTGTCATTTCACTGAAGTTGATGATCTTTTATTGTGACATTTTGAAGTGTGGAAGACAGAGATGGAACACATGGTTATCATGCTCTGAATAATGTTCTTAAAAGAAGGTAAATTAATAAGATTAGTATTTCTGAGTTGTTTGAGATGCTGAGAATACTTGCAGTAGGCAAATTTTAGCAACTCTAGGATTATAAAGGCCTTTCTGGAATTTTGTAGCTAGCTGTAGTAGGCATGAAGAGCAGATCTTTACCTTACCCCCTTAGATTTTGCAGTACCGAGTGATATCACTGTAGACTTAAATATAGAGCTTTTAGCAGCATGCTTAATGAAATGCTCTTAGGTCTGTAATGACTGCTAGTTACTTAGGATGAAGGGGAATAAATAGACTGTATCTGTACTCTTGGCCATGATGCAAGTTCTGTCTCTATTCTTTGAATGTATTGATCCACTACAAGGGGATTGTTGTGTAAGAGAATCATATTGTGTTATTTATATATTGTGTATATATTTTTAAAAGTAAGTATATTTCTGTTCATTGCAGTTAGGTAGTACTTCATATGTCTAAAATTAAACAAAACAAATACATGTGCAGTTATTTAGAAATGGAAAATAATTCTAATTTCATAATGTAAGAATCTTTTATGCCTTGTCTCAGAAAATGAAATGCTGTAATGTAGTCAAAATGTACTGTTTCAGAATGCATAAATAAGAAAATAAAAGCTTCTACTCTTTTCCATTATGCATTAAGCAGCTCAGTTTTTATATAATTAAGAGAATAGCTAGCATATGGTGGAACACAATCCCACATGAAGCATGCATTCTTGAATAGGAAGCATCATTAATAAAATCAATTTTTTGAAACTACTAAAATATTTTACCATACCTCTTGGAAAATTTATAACATATCTCAGTGCAATAATTAATTTGGCAATAGACTACTTAGAGCTAAGGCTCTGTCAAATGTGCTTCACAGTAATTACAGTAGTTTGAAGGTTTTTTGTTTGTATGTTTCTTTTTCTGCAGTTCTGAGCATAAGTCTGAACTCTCCGTCTTGGCTGCAATTTCCCTACTTATGATCTTTGTTCTGGTTCAAAGAAGATGCTCTCTGGTTTCAAAAATTGCTATGGCACTTGGGCTCCTGGGAGTCTACAGTTACCGGGCAGCCATTGGAAATGTCATATTTCCATGGCAACATGACAGCAAAGATATTTCAAAGTAAGTTAATCAACAGATATGTAAATCTATTTCTAGAAAGGTGTTAACACTTTCGGTATCGGGATAGGATGGAGAGGGATGTTATGTTTGATAACAGTCTAAATTCTTATGAATAAAACTGTATTTTGTAGGTGGCTGACACACAGTTCTTGTATGTGTAATTTTAAGCCTTGTGAAGTGTCCTGTAACTGTGTCAGATTAGAAGTTAGTCAGGTAAGAACTAATCAGAGGAAAATCCAGTAGTCGTTCCCTGTATTTTTGCTAGAAAGAAGTCCCGAATACTCCCATCTCCTCTTATTTTAGATGGATTTGCTACATTTAGCAGAGAACGTGTCAAGTTCATTTAGCTGTTTGCTAGTTTTGAAGGCTGATTATACAGTAATTGAGAGTGTTGCTTTTCTATATCTTTCTTTCTCAGTTGAATATTTTTGTAATGTATGACTGTAACAAAATTGTTCTGCACAGTGCGTACTGAGTACTTTAAAGTGGATATAAATTTCTTAAAGAACTAGTCACTGCAACTGTAAGGAATTTATTAGCCTTTTTACCAGTGATTACTTCTGGAATGTAGCTAAGTGACTTTAGTTTTCTCGTGGAGCCTTTTATCATTGGGTTGTACCTGGCTTGTAAATATCAGAGCTGTGGAAAACTTCCAGAGTTAGTAAGAGCATTCAAAGAGGAGTAGAGGATTGTGGAAGACAAGTATAACTACTGTCTTACAAATGCAATAAACCTCCTCTCACACTCATTTTTAATTTGATACAAGTGGTTTCTTTTGGGTCTTTTTTATTAGAGGACAGAAATTCACAAGATATGCAGATGGAAAAAGTCCTGCAGGAAAAGATTTTAGGACATATACATCAGATTTTCTAATAAGACATCTTTATAAACTGTATTTGTGCCTGTATATATTTATATATATGTACACACAGATGTATTTACATACATTCCATCTTTCCAAATATTGAAGATAGTTCTAATGTTAGATCTTGTTTGACAAACCTGATTTCATTCTGTGACAAGGTGACCTGCTTAGTGGCTGTCGATGTGGTCTACCTGGACAAAACCTTTCACACTGTCCCCCACAGCATCCTCACGGAGAAGCTGACTGCCCAGGTTTGGATGGGTGTTCACTCTGCTGGGTTAAACACTAGCTGGATGGCCAGGCCCAAAGAGTTGTAGTCAATGGAGTTAAATTCCGTTGTCGGCCAGTCATGAATGGTGTCCTCCAGAGCTTGGTATGGGGGCCACTTCTATTTAACATCTTTATTAATGATCTTGATGAGGGGATTGAATGCTCCTCAGTAAATTTGCAGATGACACCAAGTTGGGAAGGAGTGTTGATCTGCCTGCGGAGAGAAAGGCACTACAGAGGGGCCTGGATAGACTGGATTGATGGGCCAAGGTAAACAAGGTATGAGTTTCAGTAGGGCCAAATGTTGAGTCTTGCATTTCAGTCACAACAACCCTAGGCAACCCTACAGACTTGGGGAAGAGTGGCTGGAAATCTGTCTGACAGAAAGGGACCTTGGTGTAATGATGGACAGTTGGCTGAATATAAGCCAGCAGTGTGCCCAGTTGACCAAGAAGGCCAGTGGCATCCTGGCTTATATTGGGAATGGTGTGGTGAGCAGGACTAGGGAAGTCATCCTGCCCCTGTACTTGGCATTGGTGATGCCCCATCTTGAGTACTGTGTTGAGTTTTGGGCACCTCAGTACAGAAAGGGCGTGGAGGTGCTGGAGCAGGTCCAAAAAAAGGCAACAAGGCTTGTGAAGGGCTTTGGAGAATATGTTCTGTGAGGAGAGACTGAAGGAACTAGGACTGTTTAGTCTGGGGAAGAGGAGGCTGAGGGGAGACCTTATTGCTCTCTTCCAGTATCTGAAAGATGCTCACAGCAAGACTGGGGCTGATCGCTTCTCACTGGTGACAGGTGACAGGACGAGGGGAAATGGCCTCAAGTTGTGCCAGGGTAAGTTTGGGTTGGATATCAGGAAAAACTTTACAGAAAGGGTTGTTAAGCACTGGAATAGGCTCCCCAGGGTGGTGGTTGAGTCACCATCCCTGGATGTGTTTAGAAACTGTTTGGATGTGGTGCTCAGGGACATGATTTATCGAAGTGTTGTTAGGGCAGTATGGTTAGGTTGTGGTTGGACTCGATGATTTTTAAGGTCTTTTCCAACCTGAGCGATTCTATGATTCTATGAATTCTGTACGATGGTAAACTTTAATCTGCAGAATTTTGCTCTGATTGAAAGTATTTTTGAAAGCATGTGTGATTTCTGGGTTTAACCTCGTTTTTGTGTTTGAGTAACGTCCTTGGAGTTGCATTGAAAAAAAAAAACAAAAACTGCAATATGGGACAAAACATTAAATACAGCGATTGAGCTACAAATGGAATGCAATTAGAGAAATAAGTGGAGTACTTAAGACAAAAGCCTTTTCTGAGAACTTTCTCATTCTGTACTCATCATAGTGATTTTAATTACAAGAAGAAAGATAAAGGGCTTTTATATTGTTTCACCTTAAATAGTGAACATGATAATGTGCTTAAATCATGTCAAATGTTTATAAATCTCTAATTATATAGTAATTTAAAAGATGCTCTCAAGATTAATGAAACAAAGCTTTAGAAAATAAAGCTTTATTGGCAGATATTGTGGTCTTGTACTTAAAGCACAGCTTGAAATGAAGTGGCAGTTTATCTGAGAGCAGTTAACAAGTTTTTTTTTTTATTATTATCTTAACTGAAATATCTTTGTGCTTTTGTTAGTGCAAATACTCTACAAGACTCCAGACACTCATTTTATACATCTTGGGACAGATGTTCACTGTAGTCTGTATTTTCTATGATTCTTGTTTAAGCAAGATGCTTTCAGGGTGGGGCTTGATGGTCCTTATGTATTCTTTTACCATATACATTTAATGAAATAGTAGTCTCTCTGATTGGAATGGTTATTGCAATTATGAAATATTCCCCAAACCATTCCTACTCAAAGAAGCAGAACTTTTCATCTGTAAGTGAGCTAGTATATGGGCTTCTTAAACCTATAATATAGGGCCTAACAGAGGAAGCATTGTTTGTCCAGCATCACTGACTCTTTAAACACAGTGGCTCCTGCAAAACTTCCTGAACAGCATGCCAAATAAGATGGTAGACATGTTAGTACATTGCAGATGTTAGCTGATAAGTCAGCATAGTACTTCAAACTCACCTTGATTAGATGGCTGATATGATAAATGACCTGGAATGTCCTTCAAATTTGTCTGGAAGTATCTTTATCATACGTATGACATAAAGTGGAGACAGATGCAGATAGAAGGATAGCTTTGTGTAATATGCTTTTTCATCTGTACGTAGCCACTGCATCTTTAATTCATGCTTACTTAAGACTGAATCAGTGCTTTAATATCCCATCTTTTTCCCTTTTACTTAAAACAAGTGTTTTCTCCGAACGTGACACTTGCTGGAAGATGGATTAGACAATTGAAGAATGTCCCTTCTTCTATAACCTGAGCTTAGATAACCTCTAAATTAAAAAATGCAAGGAAATATGCCTTCAATTTTTTTGAGTTCTTTGTTATAATGATGGTTTGTACAATTAAAAAGATGTGTATATACCATATTGATGTGGAGGGTACTGCTCTTGCTAAAAAACTTTTTTAGTTTTAATTCCATGAACCAGTTAATCTCATTTTTTCACTTAACTTCTTTAATGTTGGCTAATATCCAAAAATTACCTAAAATTTTGCTTCTGAGTTTATGGAATTATAGAGTAGTTTGGGTTGGAGAAGACCATAAAGCCCACCCAGTTCCAACCCCCTGCCATGGGCAGGGCTGCCCCCCACCAACTCAGCTGCCTACGGCCCCATCCGACCTGGCCTTGAGCGCCTCCAGGGATGGGGCACCACAGCTTCTCTGGGCAGCCTATGCAACTGCCTCACCACTGTTACTGTAAATAATTTATTCTAATGTCTCATCTAAACATACCCTGTTTTAAGTTTAGAACCCTTACATCTTGTCCTCTCGCTACACCCCCTGATAAAGGTCAGTCCATAAAGCTGCATGAATGTATTTGAACATTTTTGGTAATAATTACATCAGAATTACCGGAAATACTGAAATAGGGTGATTAATTTCTGCATGAGCCAGAAACACAAGAACTCTGTGAACTTTACTGTTCTGTTCCCTGAAGAAACAATTCTTTATGCTTTACAAGATAATGTATTTTTAAGTTCAGGTGACTCAAGAATTCTCACTTCTAAGTGAACTATATTGCCTTTGTAGAAGACAATGTTCATTCACCACTCGTATACAAAGGACTTAATAATTCCTGGGAATAATGAATTCTAAATTTTGGATGTGTGCATAATATGTATTTTTTTTTCCGAAATTAAAAAAAAAATATTGTAATCATAGTATTTTATTCCACAGTTTATAAGCCTACTGGCCCTGACCTTTGACAGATTTTTTTGAATGAGATACCTATTCTCCAAAAGCTGACTTTCATTGGAAGTTATTGTCATTTAAACGGGAACCAGTTTTAGAATTCTGCATATTTGACTAAGCCAACTGATTTAAAAAAAAAAAAAAAAAGGGCCAGTACTATCACTAGCATTAGAACTTGGTCTGTTTGGCAGAATGAACAGACTTTTTGCATCTCTCTTGAAAAAGACTTTCTGACCTATGAAATTGATACTAGTGAGTAACTTATGCTTCTAGTTTGCTTTTTTCAGATACACATATGTTATTTTCTTTTCTTTTTAGGGGAATTACTGAAGCTCGTTTTGTTTATGTCTTTGTTCTTGGAATAGTCTTCACTGGCACTAAAGATTTGCTGAAGTCACAGGTTATTTCTGCAGACTCCAGTATGAAGAGTACAGGACTATGGGAAGTGTATAGTGGATTGGTACTACTATCAGCCCTTCTATTTAGACCACACAATTTACCAGTCTTGGTATTTTGTCTGTTGATACAGACAATGATGACAAAATACATCTGGAGACCTTTGAAATTTGATGCAGCCCAGATTACCATAATGCACTACTGGTTTGGCCAGGCTTTCTTCTATTTTCAGGTAAGCTGAATGCTCTCCCTGCTATGGGGCTGGGAGGGGGAATGCTTTTCAAAAGAAACGTTTATGGAAAGTGTAGTGCCAACTAAGTCATGGAGTGGGAGAATTCACTGAGTTCTCTGAATTATTATGTTTTTAACAATGTTTCTGGTTAACGTTTCTGTCTCAGAATCAGGGAAGAGTATGTGCTTGATAACGTGATACGCTCAGAGCAGAGTTGCACAATTGTCAGGAATATTAGCTATGTATAGCGTAGGGCTTTGGTCTGTTTGTAGACTTCCTAGCTACTACTGTGGTGGTTGTAAACTGTAATATATGAGCTGAGTTGATTAATAACGGTAACAGATACTTTTTTGTACCTGAATCTTGAGACTTCCAAAACCTTTAGTAGCATCACAGTATATCACAATTGAAGGGAATCTCTTTGTCAATGTAAGGCATCTTAGGAGAATCAAAACTAACTGCTGTTCTTATTATAATGAATCATCTTTCCTGGAGAATCTAATAATTTCACTAACATTGTTGTTTCCATTGCAAAAAAGGTTGCAATTACACAAAAACTTTTTTTTTTTTTTTTTTAGCATCAAAGTAAGAGAGGCTCCTTGCTCTTCTGCTACTGCTGGGAACTTAATGTAGCAGTGTCCTAAGAGAACATTAGTTAAGCTGGAAATCATGTTGTTAGATTCTGGTTTAGAAAGTTAGGCTTTCTGATTTGCTGCAAACTTCAAGGTAAGGGCTGTGCTGGATGTAACTTCCAGGCATGGCTGAGGATGTTAAACTGTAGTCAAGCTTAGGGTATTTCACATACTTTCTAATTCTGTTAGTACAGTTTGAGTGTTGGCTTAACTTTGCTCTGAGAATGCACGTCAGGACAGAGGATCATTGGTGGGCATACCATCATTGTGTTTCATCCCTTCCTAACCAGTTTTGCTTCTACCTCCTGCTCCAAGGAGGTAACATTTCTTGATTGAATACCTTTTGCATGTGTAGAGCATTACAATTCACACAGCCAATTCTGATGATTACCTTCTGAGAGCAGCCTTTAGTGGGACTGGAAAGAGGCTGAAGGCTTCTGCATACTGAGGTATTTAACATAACCAACGGTCAGAAATGGTGGGTAGGCTGACAAGAAAGTCCTAACTATGGAAAAGAGACTAATAAAGAATAATTTTAATGTTTTGTGAAGCATCTATTTTCCAGTACCTGAAGGAGTCTACAGGAAAGCTGGGGAGGAACTTTTCTTAAGGGCAGGTAGCAACAGGACGAGAGGAAATGGCTTTAAACTGGAAGAGGGTAGATTTAGACTAGATATTAGGAAGAAATTCTTTGTTGTGAAGGTGGTGAAACACTAGAACAAGTTGCACAGTGAGGTTGTGGATGCCCCCTCCCCGAAAGTATACAAGGCCAGGCCGGAGGGGGCTTTGAGCAACCTGCTCTAGTGGGAGATATCGTTGTGTGTAGCAGGGGGTTGGAACTAGATGATCTTAAAGGTCCCTTCCAACCCAAGTCCTTCTATGATTCTGTTTTCAGTGATGATGAATTGTTGGAGTTGGCTGAGAATTTCACAGAACCATCAAATCAGGAAATAGTTGAGGCTGAGGCACTTCCGGAGATTTTTCAGTCCAACATCCACCAATTAACAAGTGGTTCAGCAAGTTCAGGTTACTCAGGGATGTATCCAGACTGCTTTTAAATACTGCAAAGATGGACACTCTACAGCCTCTCTGGGCAATCTCTCCCAGCATGTATGCAACCTAACTAGTGAAAAAACTTAGATTTCAGTTCATGCCTATTGCTTGTCATCCCTGCAACAGACAATACTGAAAAGAGTCTGACTACATCTTCTTACACTCTCTCATTAATGTATTTATATACACTGTTTATGATCCTTGCTTAGCTTTCTCTTCTCAAACAGAACACAGTCTATTTTCCTGATGATGTTTGTACAACAGCTGCATTTTTTCCCAACATCATGGTTGTGGTCTATCAGTGGACCTACTCTAGCATGTCCATGTCTTTCTTTTTCTGGGAAGCCTGGAATTGAAGCCAGCACCACAAGTGTGATCTCACTACTGCTAAAGAGAGGGAATGGAATGTCAATTTGAGACAGCTAGCAGTGCTCTCCCCACTGCAGTCCTAGGTGTTACTGGTCTTCTGTGACCAAATGGTATGTGGCTGGCTAATAGACAGGATTGTGTCCACCAGGACAACTTATGTTCTTCTCAGCCAAGCTGCTTTTCCAGTGTCATCCCCCAGCCCATCCTGGCACATGAGTTTATTCTTCCCCATGTGCAGGATTTGTCATTTCCTGCTGTTGAACTTCATGAGTTTGTTGTCAGCCCATTTTACTGGCCTGCTCAGGACCGTTTGAATGGCACTGCATGTAGACTTGCTGAGAATATTGTCTCTGCCATCTCCTTTTAAGGAAGATGGCCCCAGTGTGTGAAGCCCTGTGGTTGGATGCTAGTGAGTGGCCTCCAGGTGGAGTTTGTGCTGCTGATCAGAACTCTGTATGCAGAGCAGCTGAGTCAGTTTTCAGTCCACTTCTCTGTCCACTTATTTGATCTGCACTGCATCAGTTTTCCTGTTAGGATGTTACAAGGAAAACAAGAACTTCTTGAGATATTATATTTGCTGTGGAAATACTTTTTTATTTTCTTCAATCTGATTGCTGTAAAAAAAAACATTGTGAAATAACACTTGTGCAAGAAGTTGCAAAAAGTTTGGAAAATGTATCTTTCCATGTGTCTCTGCTGTACCAAGAATCTTTTTTCCTATAAATGTAATTATACTATACCAATGAAATGTATTTGTCCTATACCAAAGTAAGGTAACAGATCTTTCAGCACACGTGGATTTTTCAGTGGTTTTATATTGGTGTTACTAGGAAGATATTTGTTTTAAGATTTCTCTTCTTACATTATTGACTAATTTTTTGCACTTACTACTATCCTTATCAAGGAGCTTTTTGATTTCTAGAAGATCAGAAGTGACTTCCATGTGAATTATCTGCACATTGTACTGTTGGATATTGTGCATTTCCCACTGTCCTCTTGGCAGTTTTGACATTTCTTCTAGTTGTCTTTCCTTTGAGAGTAACTACATTTAGCATGGTAAAGATTTCAGCAAACTTGAGGATGTTTTAAAAATTAGATCTTATGAGGCAGCAAGCCTCTCTGTATGTAGACATGCTGCTGAATCACAGCATTCAAAGCTCAGAAGGGTATTGCATGCATTGTAGTGGCATGATTTCTTGACCATTCTTTATGCCTCCTTTGTTGGTTCAACAAAGAATGAAGAATGGAGAGTGATAATTCCCAAAGCTTCTATGAGAAGCAGTCCAAAGCTTCCCACTCTCCCCCTGCCATTTTCTTTCTGAGATTGGTTTATTATTATGTTCCATGTATGAAACAGAACAGATTCAGATAAGGAGCTGTCATGTTTTGTCTGATCATTTGTCTGTAAACTACAGCTCTGAAGAAATTCTTCTGAATTTAACATAATTTAGCTAAGTAATTGCTTAATTTGTATTCTTTCTAGCACGGTGCCCTTAAAAGAACGTATCCATTCTAGAAAATATTGACAGCAGTCTCTAGCAGATTTTTCTTTTGCTATCTACTCTGAAAACCAAGGCATGTATCTACCTACATCTACTGTATGTCCTAGACAGAGTGAAATGTCAAATGGAATGCAGTAGAATAGGAAGGGTCTTAGAAATACCAGTTTTGATTGTGGCCTTCATGTTCCTAGAGATGATTTGAAAATAGAGCAATCAATTATGCTAAGTAAAAAAAGTTATAAAGGTAGGTGGAATTCTCCACTGTTCCTCACTCTTAGAAAGTTTTCAGTAATCATTTCAAAATGCTTTAATGGCATTTAAAGTAGATTCCCTTTATAGGATGGAGATGAAAAGTTGGACCAAAATGCTCCTGTTCAGGATAATAGCTTGTTTCATTTATTCTCTGTTGAAGAAACTGTTCTGTAGCTATGAGAGAGAACAAACTGAATCATACAAGCCTAACAGGTGGTGGTCTTTTTTTTTTTTTTCCAACTTCACAATTAGCTATGTGATGTGCAAACTATTACTGCAGAAAAGCAGAGCAGAAGTGTTGGTAGCTCATAAAATTACATAGGCTACAAACATCCCTCAAAATCTAATCAAAGGTGACACTTCAGTTGGCAGGTAGCTAGCTCTCAGTCTGTATTGAGAATAAGATTTCCTGTTTGGAAATAAAGCTTAAAGAACAGAAGAAAATTCTTCCAGCAGTTTTGCTAAAGAAACTTTGTTATTACATAGTATTCTGATCTAAACCGGTTTGGACTGGTTCTGTGACAGGGGATGAAGGGACCCATAATCCTATGCCCTAAGAAAAGAGGAAGGGGGGAAGGCAAGATGGCTATGAGTAAAAGAGTAAGCAAGCAAAAAGAAAAAGGCAGAGTGTCATGACTCCATGCTGGTTCAGCCTGGTGTCCAGCAGGATTCCTAGGCCTGCTCCAGCAGGCTAACCCCAGCAGAGGGGCAGAATAACCACCCTTCAGTCTGCCG